TCGTGATTCTTCTGTTGGGTAAGCTCTTTTTTTTTTCCCCTCTAATTAATCAGCGAATCCGTTTAGCTATTAAACTCAAAAACTATCAACCATTTCAGTATAGTTTTGTTTCCAGTCAGAATCGTATTTCGACTGTAGGTTTTAAACCTTTTAACTAGAAGATTTTGTTTAGAGGTTTTACAATATTCATGAAAAGTGTAGCATTTTTTTTTTGTAACAGAAGTGTAGCACTTTTTTCTGTATTGTGTTTAGCAACGAATGGCCAATGATATAATTTAGGTATTTTATATAAATTTATTTTTCTGATATAACCTATATAATCATTTGTGCCGTGTCGTAATTAACATCATCAGTTTTTAGCCATTCGGTTTGTTATAAAAAATATATTTCAATATGATAACTGAAATAAAAAATCATCTTCTAGTTGATGTAACATATACGACCAAAACAAATAACTTTCATACCTTTTTGCCAATGTATATATTTTGGTTTAATTTAAAAATGTGTTCTAAGAAACAATATGAAACGAATCAATTATCTTAATTTCATTATATCTACCAGCATCAATTTTGGTAATTACTGTGTTATATTGTTTGAGAATAGATTCCATAAACATTGAACAATATCGGTTCTGAACCATATGTGGCTGTTACATCATGATGCTACGTAAATCTATATGGAGGGAACTTCTAAATAATAAATATGGAGTGAAAGTATATTCCACGTATATATATATATATATAAACAAAATAAAAGAAGCATACAAATAGATAATTAGGAATCGAAATATATATATCGAATAATCCCCTTATGCTATTATCTCTAACGTTTTAGGTCTTTTCATTTATGTCATCTTAAATCTTAAATGTTTGTTGTTCACTTGTTCGTCTAACTGATTTCATGCATTATGCATGTTTTAACAGACACTTACACAGTTACACTAATATGTGGCTGCAACCGGAACTGAAATCGAGTAAACTATGCTAAATTTTCTAAGTGTAAGCAAATTAATGACATTAAAAAGAGAAACAAAACTACAATTGAAAATTAAACGAAGGAGATTAAATCAGCTCTTAATTCTTGTAGTTTATACATCTTCGAGAGTGGTAAAAGACCGTGAAACATATACACTAAATCAATAAAGATGTTTTCGATGTCGTCATGATTGATTATATATATGGATAAACTTTGATTTCTTGTAATTAATAATTGGTCCGTCCAATTGAATTTGGTCCTTCAAAAGAAAGAAGAAAGGTGATTCCTTTGCTTCCACCTTAAGCGATGTTTTGCCCACGATGAGTGTCTCTCGCTATCTTCCTTTAACCTAATTGGAAATGTTTGTTCTCTTTGGTGTCTTTGCCTTTTGTGTTTTCTCTTTTTGGTAATTTTTTCAAACAAAATAAATAATTTTTTATGTTTTGTTTCCAAAATTACTAGAATAAAAATAAATAAATCTTAGGAAGGTTTTGTTTCCATTTAAAATGCTTTCTTAAAGCTTAAAAAGGTTTTAAGAATAATGAATAGTTACGTTTGAATTCTTAAAACATACTCTCTAATTACCTAATATAATTAAAACAAATTGAAAATTCAGAGAAGTAAGAGAACAAACTATCGTGGAACTCTTCAAAAAGATTGTTTCTGTGTGTGATGCTTAATTTGAAGAAGAAACTTTTCTGTAATATTTTTTCTGAACGATTTTGATTATTGTGTACGTTACTTTTAGAAATATGTTTTCCATTTTATTATTGAGAGCACCTAAAATCATTTAGGGTTTTCCAAAATAGCAATGTAAGTGAAATGCTTCCTGTTGCATTGGGAGGAAAAAAAAAGAGTGTTTGTCGAGATGGAAGTGAAATGCTTAAAATTTTGTTTTACAGATGAGATGACGAATATCACCAGCGGGACAATTTATGACCAAATATTATATATCAACAACGAGCAGAAAATATGGATTGAGGCCAAGAGTAGGTAACTGAATGAATTAGATCTTTAGCTGTATTTGTGAAGAACAAATTTCAAAATAAGATTATATATAATAGTTTGGGAATTTATTCATTTAATCATCAATTCATTACAAATAGGATCACGCTATACAAAAGAAAAAAACTTGAACATATACTCTAAAACAATGTAATGAAACAATACATGTACGTACGTACGTACGCACTTGATATCTTTTGGATATCTTGTGGATTTATAGGACCAATGATGAGTGATGACCTCATCATCATCATTATCATCAACATCAAATATACCGATACATCTATACGCACGTACATGCAACCACGTACACTTGAAACAAAAAATTATTCAGTCTTCGGGTCCCCATGCACACGTCTCTGTCTCTCGGACCGTATCCTACTCCGACCCACCAACTTGTGTCTTGCAAAGTTCTAAAGAACAAAAACAAAAACAAAAAACTTGTGTTTTGGCCCAAATAATTGATTTTCAAACGATTTTTTCTATTTTGTATTGAACAAAAATTACTCGACACGACTACACCCATATTATATATATTCTTGTAGGAAAGCTTGTATGTATGTATATTAAAAAGCAACAAGTGATGTATATAATATTAAACTTTAATGTTCGTGTAGTTAAAACATTTTAAAATGAATCTTTAACAAAGTTTTCAAACTACAGTTATCTATTTGAAATATTACAACTTTAAAACCCCTGCTACAAAAAGAAATAAAATCTTACAACTTTAATCACTTTCAAACTTTTAATTTAATTCAAATGTCCAAATGCATTGATTATAAAATCAGTTATTAAAAAGCTGAAATTTAAGTGAAGTATTTATGTTTTGGTTGGAACCACGTTTATACAGTTATACGTTGATTTTGAGTTTGTTATGCAAAATTTTGGTTTGGATTCTAAAAATAACATTTTCTTGTATTCTTTTAAATTTTCACTATGTATTCTGAAATCATAAATGTATCACCTTACAATAAGAAAATGATCAATTTCAAAGCAGAAATTATGAGATGAACTAGAATTTACTCTGCATGTGTTGTGGCGTTCTCGAAATTATTGTAAAAGTTAAGTTGATTGGTTTGTAGATTTGCATAAAGATATATTGGTTTTGTTAATTAGTTTACGATTTGGTTAGAAACAAAAACTCTTGGATTTGAAGAAAACTGAATTCTTGATTCATCATGTTTCAAATTAATTTAGCTTATGATAAGAGTTAAGTAAGCCCCTAAACGATTATTTTGATCTACTTGGTTGTCTTTTTTTTTTTTTGATAAAAACGTTCGGTTATCTTTTTCTGAAGCAAAACGAAACTTTAGATATGTATTCACCAAGTGCAAGCTTTAATAATTGGGTTTGAAGCTGATTAAATTTATGGACTGCATTTCATGTAACTTATAGATCTCGATATACGAAATAATACCTTTTATTTAAAGAATATGTTATACTCCTATTTATAAAATATGTTATATTTTCGAGTTACGACCATGCTAAATTTTCTATAAGTGTATGAGGAGATTTTTTTCCTTTTCATGATTTTGGTTGATTTTAATCATCTCTTTACATTTGTAAACTCTCACTAAAGTAATAAATAATACTACTTAGATAGTACTACACCGTAGATGCCATGCCAATATATATTACGGACTACAAATACCATGTCTTTGGGTTTTTTTTTCTTGTTGTTGTTGTCAACATGACTTTGGATTAGTAATATTAAATTCAATATATTACATGATAATTTTATACTTAACATTAAATTCTTCCATTATTACTTTGACATGCTTTACCTGAAGCTTCAAAACGACGTTGTATTTTTCTCAATTTAAAATAAATCCAAGTGGTAAAAAGGTAACTTTAAAATAAAAATATAACATCCTAATAATGGCATCCAGCTTTCTTTGCATATTTTTGGAACATTCTCATCGTTTTAACTCTAAAAAAAGATGAAAATTGTGACTTCCACAATGTGCCACGTTATTGGTTCAACAGAGTATCGATGCCATACGTCAACATTTATCTTTTTTGAACATAAATATAGATTTTTTATAGCATATTTTGTTTCGTTCCATATCCGTTACTATTATTTCTTTAGAACACACGCGTTAGTTACAACCTACAAAACTGATATTTTTAGTCCTTCTCGTCTTTGTTTGTCAGTCACTGTTATCACAATATAGGTAGGTTTTAGATTCTGCTCATGTTGGGAAATTAATAATTTTAAAATTACATGACAAACTACCGTCTATTGCGTCTAATGTTAATAGAAAAGAAAAATTTTCTTACAAATTATTCACACAACACATCAAATTTTGGAATATGGTTTATGGCACAATAAATAACCACACTATTAAACCCATTATACTACAAACTTCAAATTTAAAGGTCGGATAGCCCTCTAAACATGAATACAAACATGAATATGGAGGTTAAAACCCCATTCAAGTGAAAATGGGTTAAGTATAAACCAATGGTAAATTTTTTGATGGAGTTAACAAAATTAGATGGAGTTATAAGAGTAAACGAGGTGACGAGCCGAGCTAAAATTTCCATCAAAATGACAATATATGATCAAATACGATTTAATGTAAAACTGTAAGTTAATCCTGATGAAATCAAAAATTCGTTTAAATCAGTAAAGTAAGATGCCTAAGCGTAATAGCAAAATTCTCAGTATTAAGAACAACTCACGGTAAATAATAAAAAAAAAAAGATAACGTTTAACATGATATTAGAATATATTAAAAAAAATAACAAAGAACACAACTTTTCACAACAATTTAGCTCTATACTCAAATACTTCAATTCTTTGTTTTTGCTTTTGTAAAATCACTTTTAAAAATCAAAATAGTAAAACCAATTTACTTAGTTATACGTATTTACAAATTTTCTTCCACCAAATAATTAATTAAACAACACATAAGAAGCCAACTTATTTACTTTACACAGTATTGAAGTATCTTTTGTTTAACAAAAATCAAATAATAAATTACAGAAATACAAATAAATACTAAAAAAATCTGTGAAGAGTCATTTCACAGAGGACCCCACAGTACATGGTTCCATAAGGGAAGAACCTCTATTTATAAGCGCCTCTTCACTCCCCTCCCTCCATGTCTCATTCTCATCCATCAAACTACAAAACATCATCAACACCATCTTCTTCTCTTCTTAAGATCAACACCTCCTAACACACACTTTGTGATTTCTCTGTCAAATCTCCAGGTATGTTACATTACATGCATCTCCAGAACCGGATCATCATCCAATACATATGAAAAAAAGAGCTAATTTCATGTGTTCATTGTGATCAGTGTATGTTAACACTCTGATTGTAACTGTGCAGGAAAGAGAGGGAATAGTGCTGTTAGGTTGCGATGATGGCTTGTGGCTTAAGCAAGAGCCTTGGCTTCTCTTCCTCGTTGAAGAAGCAGCAAGGCATAGTGACTATCCTTGGTGGCGGCGAGTGTGACATTTCGTCGAACACTTTAGCTGCACCTTCACTGAGGAGGACTTTCTCTGCTGATTTGTCCTCCAAGACTTGGCTTTCGCAGAACGGGTATGCTCCTCCTATGAAGAGAATCTCTTCCTCGGAGAAGCTCCGTGCCCACTCATTGAGCTCCGACGATGGGGAAGAAGAGCAAGGAGGATCAAGATCCGAATTCGATATATGGGCTCAGATTCAAGAAGACAAGAATAACAAGGAGGAGGAGAAGATCGAGCCTGGCCAATCCGATGTATGGAGTTCGATTTTATCGGACAAGAAGAAGACGGAATCGAGCAACGAAACGGTTCCTCCTCCACCGTATGTTCACCCGCTGATGAAACGCGCCAGCTCCTTGAGCGAGAAAAGCCTCGAGATTTGCACTGAGAGTCTCGGATCCGAGACGGGTTGCGAAGGATTCTCTTCGTATGCATCGTCGGAGAATGGGGATGCTGAAACCGAGAAAGAAATTAGCAACCAGGAGGAGGCGAAACTCGTTCTCAACGAGACGGCGACCAAGGAGGAAGAAGAAACAGATGCTGAGGCTGAATTTGAGGTTGAGCAAGAGTCGATCACAGTTCCAAATCACACAAGCAGCATCGAGCTGCCTCGAGGATCGTTTCCTCCTCCGATTCGTCCTCTCTCGAGCCAATCGGGTTCGTCTCTGCACATGAAAACTCGCCGCGACAACGGCCGATTGGTCGTCGAGGCTGTCTCTATGCCGTCGCACAACAACTTCGACGCCAAGCGCCAAAACGGACGCCTCCTCCTCACTTTTTCTGAAATCAGCAACGAAGTTGACATCGGAATCGACAAAGAAGAGGAGACTGATTCGGAGGTTCAGTGGTTCGACGAAGAAGAAGAGGAGGAGGAAGAGGAAGAAGAAGAAGAGGAGGATGGAGCAGAAGACGTGTTTGCCTACAAGCCCAATGGGCTTCTGTATAAGCTGGCACAAAAGCCAATTGGTCCTATAACTGTTCATAGGTTGGCCCATAAGCCTATTGGAGTACCAAAGAGAAACTCGAGATGGCCCGTGATAGATGAATACGACACCAAATCCGATCTGTCCACGCCGGTAGTCCACTCTCTGCCACCAAGGCCAAGGGTGGCTCAGCTCGCTCGGTCAACAAAACCGCCTTCCACGGTGGATGACACCGTGGGAGCTGCTTGCTTCAACACATGTGACTACTACTGGAAGCCCACTAACACTGAAACTTTTGGTCCAAACACAAAAACCCAATTTCAAGCCCAAAACTTAATCCACAAATCAATCGGCGTTGGGCATGAAGGTTGGATAAATGGCTGCAAGGAACGAAGGAGGTCCCTTTTGTCCGTTGAGCCTTTCTGCATTGCCACTTGATGAGTTTATACCCTACCAAAAAGGCGTAATTTACAAGAAGCATAAGCATATGATATTTATCTATCTGTGTGTATATATATGCGAGTATGTATACTCGAATATATATGCATATTAACCCAATAATTGTTGTTGTTGTTGCCGATGGTTTTTCTACCTTATTTTTTCCTCTATATGTTTTACCACTTGCCTTTTTGGTTTGTGGGCATAAAGAAAATTAAAAAAAAAATGTAATAAAGAATCAAGAGTAGGAGGAGAGGGAAGAAGTGAGGAGTGGAAGTTAGAAAAGTAATTAAATTGTTTCTAATGAGGTTAGAGACCTCGTTGGAGTAAGAAATATTTATGATGAGTGTTGTGTTTTGTACAAACTCTTGTTGTTCCATATTTGCTAATGGACGAGAACTCGTTTTATTCATTTGTGTCTCACCACATAATAATCCGTATAAGCACTTTTTTTTTTTTTTTGGTAAAATGTAAAGATTATATTACCAATTTCCGATTTTTGACAGAAATTAGAGGGAAACAAAGAAAACAGATTAAACAAAAACTACGAAACAACTACAAATAAGCAGCAAACCACAACAAAAGACTAAGAAAAACGGCTCGAGAGATTACAAAAAAAAAAATTAAAACCAAACAATACCAAACGAGAACGCAGCAATCACACGCCGAAACGCGGACCATTCCATTTTGCCATAGCTCCGAAGAACTGGAATTTTCATCTTAGTTGTCACGAGCATCAACCCGAGGCCAGCCCTCAAACCTCATAAGGGGACACCTACAGCTTCTCCGAGAACTATTGAAATTTCCGATTTTTGCAACGGACAAGCTTGCAACCGGCGACAAGGGAGGCCGAGCAGGCAGTCGGAGCGTCACCTCGGACCGCCATTCCTGCAAAAACGAATCTCCGCAGAAACCAGCTCCCACAGCTACAAGCAAGCCGCAACAACAAACCGGCGTCTCAACAATCACGTCCAACATTGCTCCACCGTGAACACCAGACCACATCCGGAGCCAACACGAACCGAGTTCTCAGACACTAACGCGGGCCTACTACTCATTAGTCGGAAACACGCACCTTTGGGTATCCCGTGCCACGCCGATGTCGAAGACGGCGACGAAGCAAAAACCGTCAAAGCCGATCAAAGCTACCGCCGAGCCACCCGTCTAAAGCCACCGCTGAGACAAACCGCTGGTGGAGCTGCACCCGCCGGAAAGACGTGAGCCACCACTCCGAAGCTTGCCACCAGAAACAAGCCGACCTAGACACCAAAAAACGGAGGCTGAACCCGTCCTCAAGGTTCAGAACACCATCGCCGGAGCCGAGGAGGCCAGATCTGCAAATGCTACCTCGCCGCCGCGTCGGAAAGACCGAAGCTTGAGAGAGACCATAATCAGGGAGAGAGAGGAAAGAAACTACCACCCAAACACTGAGAAGGACAGAGCGCACGTCGCCGGAGGAGACCCTCAAAAGAAATCCGAGCAGCCGTCCAAAAAATCGCCGGAGAGCGAAGGAAGAAGCAGCGAGAACTTCTCGAGGCAGACAGAAAAGAGGCACGACCCAAGGATGATACCATCCTCCACCGCGACCCTAGCGACGCCGCTAAGGTCCCGCCGCCGTCGAAGAAGATATAATCGCCGGAAAAGCTTCATCACGATGCCACACCCGAACCGACGGCCACCAAGCTTAAATACACATTAAATGAAAGAGGGGAGCGAGGAGGTCCCTACTCCGGCGACGGTGTGCCACCACGCGCGCGGAGAGGGAGATCGGAGCAGATGAAGGCGTCGACAAAAAGAAATAATTTCAGATCTAAAACTTTCAGGAGAGAAAATGAGGAGAGAGAAAAAGTCTGTATAAGCACATCTTCTTAAATTAAAAACACTAGTAATGATATAAGGTTACGCGTTTCAGATTTGAAAATTTTTAGACGTTGAACAAAAAGTCAGTAATCTATTTGGAATTTGGAAAAAAAATATACTTAAGATTTGTGAGGAGGAGAGAATTTTTTACAGTTTATGTGTGATGGTTATGATTATGCATGATAAGTATTTATGATTGTTGTTTAATTGGTGCCTCTTGTTCTATTCTCTGCAATTAGAGCCTCGTTTTGGCATGTAATGAGAGCAAGTATAAGAAAGCAAAGACACGTTATGGTCTTTTCAAGCACGAGAACAACTCATAAGTTTGAAGTAATATATAGCAGAATACACAAAGATAAACGATATTAGTCTTATTGTTTTGTTGGGATGGCATCATCAACTCATGATTTAGTGTTGGTGACAACTATACGAGATCAAATTCCAATAGTTCTAGAAAAATGTTGGTTTTTTTTTTAATTGCAATGCAGCTAACCATATATTTTTCTCTCTTAAAACTGAATTTTAAGAACACTACACCAATTTTAGCAACAAAAAAAAAAGGAAGATACAGTATTACATTTGTGAATCATTGTTAATGGCTATTTCAGTAAGCCCAACATCAAAATTGCCGCCACTTCTCCCTCCTAAGCCCGAATCCACCTGTTTGACCCGAAAGGCTCGACCCGAGAGATCTCAAATCCAGACCCGCCCAAATACCCGACCTCCATTCCAGAATACAGCCCAGAATCGCCTTTCTGTTTCTTCTTCTTCTTCATTCTCCACTCTGTCGTACTTGAAGGAAGATAGAGAGAGGGGAAGGGATCATAAAAAGGCAAGCATGGGAGATGTGAAAGAAGACGACGATGCGATTCTCAAAACTTTCCTCGCCGAGGTCGGTGAAGTGGAAAGGGACAATGAAGTCGTCAGGTTCCTTCAAAACCCTCTTTCCTTAGCCTAATCTAGCTCGTATCCCTCAATCCAGCTCCTGATCCGAGCCTTGTATATGCGTTATTTTGGAATTCATAGCTCCTTAGGGTTTCTACGTTCTGAGAGTTTATTTTTGTTTTTCATTCATTAGCTTATCAATATGTTTCTTCGCTTATGACGATCGTAACTTAGGGAATTGGAATTACTAGTGAAATTGGCAGTGAGTTTTATCGGGTTCCGAAATTTCATGATTCATATCTTAAAATTTGAAACTTTGTAGGATTCTCTCATGCTTCAAGCTGAACCCATTTGAGCATCTTAACCTATCTTTTGATTCTTCCACGGATGACGTTAAAAGGCAGTACAGAAAGGTAATTCTCAGTTCTGCCACTTGCACTGTGAAGACATTTATTTTTCTTTTATGGCTTCTCCTGGTAATTTTAATTACTACGCCACTGATTGATATTACACTGGAAAAGTTGTGACTGATTTCGACCTCTTCCAGATATCTTTGATGGTTCACCCTGACAAATGCAAGCATCCACAAGCACAGGAGGCTTTTGGAGGTTAATATTCTTAAAATCTCTTTGCATATCCAGTTGTCTTTGTGTGAATTCTCAAAAATGTATTGTTTGGGCCTCCTCAAGAGAATTGATTTGTTTGAATGAACTTGTCATGTTAATATGGGTTTTGATTTACTGAACAGCATTGGCAAAAGCGCAACAACTGCTGCTGAACGACCAAGAAAGAGATTATATACTCACCCAAGTCCATGCTGCGAAAGGTGAGACTTTATCGTTTATCTTGGATTCAGTTAAACCAGAATCTGTAGCTTTTATACTTTCTGTCTCGTGACAACGTTCTTTTCCACTACCGTGAAATGCAGAAGAGCTTAGGATGAAGAGAAAGAAACAGTTGAAGAAAGATACCGCCTCTAAAATAAAGTCCTTGGTTGATGAGGTAAGGAAACCGTTTCTTATTGGGCTTAGATCTAAGCTGTTTAGCGGAGATGTTTTACCTTTTCTATTTTTCCAATGTGGTTGGATCTAGAGTTAAGCTGGGTGTAATTGATGGCTCATTGTAAGCAGCGATATCAAAAAGTATCGATTATGAAACTGCAGATATTCTTTTAGAACGATAGCTTTTGTCAAAATTGGGCTTCCTATGAACCAAATGCTGTTACTTGTTCAGCGAGCCGAGTATAGTATATGCGTTTTACTGGGAACTGGAAAGTTGCCAGACTAAGTTGTTTCTAGAATGTTGAGCATAGTAGTACATTTCGAAAATGTCTTGCTTAACTAAAATGAACTGGCTGGACATTGTTGTGATGTAAAGTAAACCCTCTTGCTACTTACATTTTAAGCGGCGAACCTTGTGCCTGATAAATGCGCAGGAAATAAGAATTCTAAGATACAGAATATGTAACTCGTGTTTGTATTAATGTGTCAGATAAAAGGATATCTCGATGAATTACAGCTCTGTCTTTATTCTTCATTTGTTTCGTCTGATTGGGTATATGGTCACAACTCTGATGTGTTCTCAAATAGCTAAATCCTTATTTATCTTCCGTTTCATATTTGTGTGTGGTTTTTTTTCAATCCCATCTGTCTTTCTTTATTCCAGTTCTTTTAACTTGTAGTGCTACACATTTTTCATGTACTCAGGGAAAGCATGAACATATATATGAGCAATCTGAAGAGTTTCAGAAAGAGCTTAAGTTAAAGGTCCGGGAGATATTAACAGACCAAGAGTGGCGTAGGAGAAAAATGGCAATGAGGGTATGTAGAGTTTCTAGTTTTCCTTGCTTTATAATTTCTTTCTCATAGGATGATTCATTCATTTTTTTATGTTTTTGCTTCTTGACATTTAGATATCAGAAGAAGAGGGAAGACTGAAGAAGGATGAAGAAGAACAAAAGGAGATAAGGAAGAAGAAGCGTGAGCATGAAGAACAGTGGGAAGGGACGAGAGAGAAAAGGGTTTGTGCTTCTGTTAATCCACGTTCTTAATTCCTAACCTACCTATGAATGCATTAGTTTCGAACCAGTCTAGCTCACCTTTTGGCACTTAAGTATGGTTAGAAATGGCTTCAGAGAAGAAACCTCATCCGAAATAGTTCAAACCATGTCCGTTCTTATGACCAAATACTTTTGAACACCTGTTTTTGAATTCGAAGAGCAAATCTTGGTTCCATCTTCTGTTGATTAATCATAATAAGATGATGTATGCAATTTCTCATATCCTCTACTTCCCTATGGTATAGTTAGGTTTAACGAAATTGCGTCCTTGGTGTCAGTGGATTTTACTAACGTTGGGTTTCCATGTGTAGGTATCAAGCTGGAGAGACTTCATGAAAGCAGGAAAGAAGGTAAGAGACACATTGTTAGCTAGGAAAAAATCCTGCATTCGTGAATTATTTTCGTTTTCCTTGGTCAGATTTTAATCTAAGCCTCTGTTATAATCATCCTTCAGGCCAAAAAGGGAGAGACACGTCCTCCAAAACTGAAAACAGAGGATCCAAATAAATCATACGTCCAAAGGCCGGTCAAGAAAGGCTGATCTCCGGCCCTTTTTTGCTGTCGTTACCAACTTACTATTGATAGATTGGTTTTCTCAAATATTAGCTCTGACTCTTTCTGCTTGTGTCTGTGTTTCTCTTTGTACATCACAAACTCTATTTGTTTTTTCAAATACATCAGAAACCTGGAAGAGATATATTTCTCACTACACGCTTATGACCAACTTTGTACTGCGTCTCTGATCAAATTATGTCTTATTTAGACTTAAGATATTACTATTAACTTGGGTATTGTTATCACTGGATTTTAGTGGTGGCGAATTATATTGACATGTTCACGACAAGACCGGGAAAAGAGCATACATTTCCTTTAACACAACCATGATAGTACAAAACCCACACTTTGGGGGGTCAAAAGATATCTGCTATGTACAGCACAAGCTCTAAACGAACCAAAAAAGAAGAAAATTACAACTTTGATAAATCTCTGAGTGTATGAATCTTTGTCTGCGTGGGATATATATGTCACAACAACTCCACAAGGGTGCGCTCCAAGTACCACTAAAGCTGGTTTATTAATTTCAAGCCCCCAAAGATTGTCTCGTCTTGCCTCTTTTTAATCCTGGAAGTAATTTTTGTTCTTCAACCCATAACATAAAACTTGTTTAATACTTCTCCGGTTCAAAAATTGTCTATTTCTCTCATACCACTTTGCTAGCAGACGAGAAACCACCAAATCTTTTCCTGAAAAGACATACGGAGAAAAGCAAAATAATATTGAGAATCTGTTTATACTTTTTCAAGTTCATTAAAGACCAGAACAATGTAGACAGATACCCTAACTAAATCCTAGTATTACAGTGCGAAATCCTAGTCTATGATGATTGATAACAACCCAAGTGCTCGTAATCCTCTACTTCCATCATAGCCAAAGTTTTGCTTATAATCAGAGTATTGGTGGTAGAGCCACACTATAGAATGCTAGATAGTTACAATGTCAGGTGTTGATTGATCTAAACCAATATATTGGATTCCCACTTCTTTTTCAACGAAAATAAAACAACAAAGCAATGCATCTAATAAGAATGCGCACAGTATCCTCTTCATGGCAGATTTGTATAATCCAAATTGATTCTTGTGATTCATGATCAGAAAGCAAAGTAAAACCAATATACAGAAAAATCTTAAAAATAATACAAAAAAAATCTCTAACATTTCATTGATAGACCGCAGAGTCTGATGACTGATCTAAAGAAACCCAAGTCTAATGTTACCACCACAGCCAAAGTTTGGCTTAAAAACATATGTCCGATTAAATGGTTTATCAATCTATTAATCTACAGTTTAGTTCCTTGACCAAGTCAAGCATAGCAACCCACAAGGATGAAAGTAACAAGGGAGAGAGAGTTTAAAAACCCCTTACCTGCAACATTTAATCTCTGAAAATCACCGAGTCTGCAATGGCCAACAAGGGCTTCAAGCAATCAGGGGTAAATTTGCGTGCAAAAAAGTAGGAGCTTGAGTGGCTTGATCGTCGGAGTTTCTTGATCAGCTCAGGCACGACTTCCTTGGGTTTGTAAGTATATGGATGTCCTTTCACAGTGCCAGTCCAGTTGACCCGGGTCAGGGTATACCCGGTGCACCCATCCGGATCCTTCATGTTCAACAGCGTCGGGAAGTAATGCTCCTCCGGGTAACACTCGTCGGAACGATAACACGGGAGCTTGAATTTGCGCCACAAGACCCGATCTTTGATTGTAAGCAAAGCATGCCTTCTAGTCATGACAAAGAACTGCGAACCCACTCGGAATTTCTCGAACGGGACCTCCGGCATCATAGCGTACCTTCCCCGAGCGTTGTACCGTTTCCAAAGCCTCGGTTCATCGGAGATGAGCTCGATGAAGCTCCGATACCAGATCCGGATACCTCTGGGAGTCGGCATTGGATCCGGATCAGATTTGTCGAATGTGGAAGATTCGAAGAGGGAGCTGTAAACGTATTTGAAGGAGTGAAGAGGAATGCAGTACTGAGAGAGCACGGCGAAGTAAGTATTGGCAGGGTCGTCGAGGAAGGCGGTGGCGAGGAGGCGTCTTGTGGCGGAGATGAGAGTCGGGGAGGCTCGTGCGGTGCGCTTGGCGTTCGCTATGAAGGAATTCTCGAATACAGAGCCTTTCCCAGGTCTTGTGATATTGACGAAAGGATCTGCGTGGACGTAGACGTTGTAGAGCGATTGCGGATGCCCAGAGAAGAACCGATCCCAGATTGGCGCGAAATGGAGATCGGAGTTGGTGAGGAATAGAAAGGCAATCTTGAGCTTCGGTTTAGGGTTTCCGGAGGAGAGATGTGAGAGGGAGGTTGATCCAGCAGCGGCGAGGAATAGGCTCTGGTCGTCGATCTCATCGGAGATTGGGATGAGAGATTCGCCGGGAGGAGAAGGGAAGACATGTGGCGCGACGAAGAAGAAGACGATCGGGAGACACAGAAGAATGGAGAGGGAGAGGATGAACTCCTTCGAGTACATCTGGAAATCGAAACTTCAATATGAAACCCTAGAAACTTTTGACTCTCTTCCAAATTTTTTCCCAACCACTGGAAATCTACAGCAATGTGCGTAAATTCCCCATGAATTGACGGATTCTGCACAAGTCCGGTTTCTCAATTTGATGAAAATCAGGGGTTTCACAACAGTAGAGCTCTAAGAAACCAAGACCTTCCACAGATTTGAGCGGTCAAATTGAAGAAACACGAGATTCTCATACAGAAGGTGAGATTTTCCGGCGATAATCCGTCGAACCTCAAAGTCTAGGACCTCTCAGTTTACGATTTCTTCTTTCAGAGCGAGTCGCAAAAGGAAGAAGACGAAGAAATCCAGAAAGAAACTCTCGACGCAGATTTTCTCTAGAACTTTAGGAGAAATCAGCAAATTGAAATATAAGGGATTTTTGGAGGAAAAAATATTGAGATTGTATCTTCAGATTTCGAAAGTAGAAACAAAAATCAAAAGGATATCTCACACTCAGTGATGATGATAATATAGACGAGAGAGATGACGAGAGATCGATTGTTCTTCTGTTTCGTTGTAATTGACGCGGAAATTATTGTGAGACAAAAGGGTATTAATGTCAATTACCAACCGACAGTCGTAACCCCTGACGTCGTCAAGTTATGTAAGTGTTAGTTTATTAGAACGAGGCACGAGTTAACGGCGTTACAATGTGTTTCCGTCGGTGATAACGGCAATGGCTTCAATGAATCCATCGGTCGATAATGATGTGCCAATGCTATATATATATATATTTTTTTTTTTTCTTGTTTTGTTTGGTAGTAAACGTAAGAAATTATTAAGAAGTTAGACATTATATGTTGTATCTAATTCGGTAGGTCCAACTGATTTGGTTAACTGGTCTGCACTATTTGCTGGGATGTTTTAGTTTTCTACAAAGAAAAAAAAGAGAGAGAAATTGCACACGTATTAGAGAAACCTTATATTTTACTCGATTAACAAGAAGTCAAGAAGAAAACAGATTCTATGAGAGAATTAAATAATTTATATGGGTCTGAATAATTCTCTGTAATGAGTCTAGCTGTAAAATGGTCCATTTATCTATAGTTTTTTTTTTTTAAATCTACAAAGGGTCGTTAATGTGATACAAACTTACATGAAAAAATGGGACGAGTGGACGTACAAAACAGATTTTGTATACACACATTTGAAATTCTCTAAAAACAATTATGGAGAAGAGAAATACAATGCAAAGTAAAAATTGAGGAGAGAAAGTGGTCATTCGAGGGTAAAAACCCCATTCATTTTCTCATCTTATGATTAATTAGTGAAAATTGATCTCATTCTACAATCAATACATGCTATATTTTAATTCTCATTGATCTCGTTTATACGTGATATATGAATTTATTCCTTCGAATTTCACACATAAGGAATGTTTTGTAAGTGTTCCAATGGAATCTATAATGTGATTAATGATTAAATCAACATGCCAGTAACACTTTATAAGACGTACGTGATTTAAAGTTCAGTTCATCAATCTAATGACTGATGACCAGGTCAAGTGGGTAGGGCATAAGTGTCCATGCCTCTAGGCCCATAATCAATTTAAAAGAATTTGTAAGAAAAGCCAAATTTTGATTGTTACTCTGTCAGTATTTACATGGCCTGATTTTATTTTCGACAGTAAGGTCGTATAAGCCAAAAAAAAAAAAAAAAATAGGTCGCGCCTGCTGATTATGTGATAAGTTTCATTTCTAGTCTAGTGTGGTAGATTGTTTTTGTGTTAGCATAATAACCGACGAACTTTTGTCAACAATTGAGTTTTGTGGCATATGATTCTTGTCGTGATAGATATAGAGACTATAAAGTACTGAGATTCTATGATGGCAAATCTGAAGAAGCGGAAGAGGGAAACCTAAGAATTACTGTTTTAACCGGATAACCACAAGTGATCGTTGTTACCATTTCTATTTAGAAGTATTATTCCTGCTTGCTTTCGAAGTTGTATTAGCTATAATCAGCATTGTATTTGTACGTAGTTTTAGGCGACACCCAATGAAGAATATGAGTCTGCCAAGTCTGCTAAACCAGGAGCACATATATGAACTTGTTGATAATATTCTCAACTAAATTTAACGTTACAAACTTAGTCACAGTTGAATTACACATGTTATTTTTATTTTTTAAATTAGATTGCACATAACGTTGAAAATTTGCCCAAATTTGTGTTATATATTTTTTTAAACCAAACATCTATAAAACCTGCTCTTTTTTTTCTTGTTAGACTATGTTGATATCCTCAACTTATATGATATCTTAAGAAATCATTATATCATAATTTTACTTTGATTGTGGCAGATAACATAAAATCTTAATAGTGTTATTTTCTCAAAACGATACCTTAATATTTTCTCTCGCATTTGATTTTATCAAATTATATTAAAATTTCAAATAAAAAAATGATTAGGAAAAATAATATTTCTTTCGAATTTAATAATAGAGGGAGTACTTAAATTAACTTCTTGATGTAAATTTTCAAATTCATCTAAGATCTCCTTGTTTTTGTTGTTCAACATCTAAAATATCCTTTTTTTGTTCCTCTGATTTTTAGCTAAATATCCTTTTTGTTTTATAAATTTGCCCTTTTCCCATAGGAGAAGAAATGAATAAAAAACACAAAAAAAAAAAATTCTTAAAAGGAAAAGGAAAAACAAAAGATATAAAAAGTTCTAGAGTGTTCCGCTCCACAAGACCTTGAACAGAAGCAAACCCAATTAGTCTTCGAACAGCAGCCACAACAAACTCCGTCTCCCTCTCCCTCTTCTCTCTCCGCCATTAAAAGACTCTCAGTTTCTTCTCTCTTCTTTTAGGGTTTTCGTAAGAACGGAGAAAGATGTTCGGAAGAGGACCTTCGAGGAAGAGTGACAACACCAAGTTCTACGAGATCCTCGGTGTTCCCAAGACCGCATCACCGGAAGATCTCAAGAAGGCTTACAAGAAAGCCGCCATCAAAAACCATCCCGACAAGGGTGGAGATCCCGAAAAGGTTGAATCTTCGATCCCCCCTCTTTTATTTCTCAGATTCTGTGAAATTCAATTCGTGTTGGTTTTGCTTCCTTCTGGGAAATCTAGTTTGATTTGAATTCTCCGATCTATAGACGTCGCGTAAGCTCTTGGATCTTCGTAACATATGTCTCGATGTCCGATTTGATCTGAAATTTGCGAGTTTTAGGTCAAATGGTTGACGTGATTTTTTTTTGGTTGGTTTCTATGAGATTTGTGGTGCTGTGAATAGAATTTTTGTGCGCAGTCACTTAATGATTCTTAAATTTGATCTATCTTTAGATGTTTGTTAGTTTTTGTTGGAGTTATAAATGTTCAGATTGCCAAAATTTAATTCTTTTGGCACTTGAGACCGTAGAAGATTATTACTTGAGTATATATGGTTATCTGTGCAATCTGTAGGCTTGATCAAAATATTTATTAAAATCTATACGCGTCTTTGCAGTTCAAAGAGCTAGCTCAGGCTTATGAAGTTCTTAGCGATCCGGAGAAGCGTGAGGTCTACGATCAATATGGGGAGGATGCACTCAAGGAAGGAATGGGTGGTCCTGGTGGTGGCCACGACCCATTTGATATCTTCTCGTCCTTCTTTGGTCAATCTGGAAACCCATTCGGAGGTTAGTCTCTCATACAATGCCTTTGAATTCTCTCTATCTCTCAATCGATTTTGCCTTTGAATAGATGATAAAGAGAAGTATTCTACTTTTAAATTGGTTTCTGAGTAGGTGGTAGCAGCCGAGCAAGGAGGCAGAGGCGCGGTGAAGATGTTGTTCATCCTCTGAAGGTTTCCCTAGAGGATCTTTATCTGGGAACAACAAAGAAGCTCTCACTTTCTAGGAAGGCTTTGTGTTCAAAGTGTAACGGGTTAGTACTTCCACGACATGCTTCTGTCTTTTCATTTTGAAATATATCCAAGAAGCTTAAAAAGAGTTCATTGCTGACATTATGTGCTTTATGATTGCAGAAAGGGTTCAAAGTCTGGAGCTTCAATGAAATGTGGTGGATGTCAGGGAACGGGAATGAAGGTCTCGATCAGGCAGTTTGGACCTGGAATGATTCAGCAGATGCAGCATGCTTGTCATGATTGCAAGGGCACAGGAGAGACCATCAACGACCGTGACAGGTGTCCACAGTGCAAAGGTGAGAAGGTTGTCTCCGAGAAGAAGGTGCTTGAAGTAGCTGTGGAAAAGGGAATGCAACACAGTCAGAAGATCACATTCAGTGGACAAGCAGATGAAGCGGTTTGTGATACTTCATTTCCCTAGCCTTTTGATTATCATATTCTTCGTTTATTAACTTTTTTCTGCCTTTTTTTCATGTGGAACCAGCCTGATACAGTCACTGGAGATATAGTGTTCGTCATTCAGCAGAAGGAGCACCCAAAATTCAAGAGAAAGGGAGAAGATCTCTTTGTGGAGCACACCCTTTCTCTAACAGAGGCCCTTTGTGGCTTCCAGTTCGTCTTGACCCATTTGGATACAAGACAGCTTCTCATCAAATCCAATCCCGGGGAGGTAGTGAAACCTGGTACGTATTTTTACTTGGCCAAAATCATGATCCTTTTTCTTTCTTGTCTTCTACGCGCGCTTTCTTGTCTTACTGTGTCGTGTATTTTTGGTTGTTGATAGATTCATACAGGGCGATAAGTGACGAGGGAATGCCGATACACCAAAGGCCGTTCATGAAGGGTAAGCTTTACATCCACTTCACTGTAGAGTTCCCGGAATCGCTGAGCCCCGACCAGACAAAGGCCATTGAAGCGGTTTTGCCAAAGCCGTCAAAGGCTGCTCTGAGCGATATGGAAATAGATGAGTGCGAAGAGACGACGCTGCACGATGTCAACATTGAGGATGAGATGAGAAGGAAGGCTCAAGCTCAAAGAGAGGCTTATGATGACGATGAGGAAGATGGCCCAGGCGGTGCTCAGCGTGTGCAATGTGCCCAGCAGTGATCCACTTGCCCATTTTAGTGATATCCAGCATTTGCTTTCGTTTTTTTTTCCTTTTCTTTGTATTATTTTTGCGTCTCTTTATAGACTTTGCCAACTCGGTGGGAAGAACCTCGTCCTAATTCAAATCGTTATTACAATTTTTTGTTTTGCGTTTTGAGAATAAAAGACTTCGTAGTTCTTGGGATTTTTGTCCTCTCCATCAACATGTCAATGCCCGGAATTAAAAACATGCTACCAAAATTAAGGCTTCCATGTTCGAGTAGGATTTGAATTGGTTTAGAAATGAAGCTATGAAGAAATAAAGATCAATCATTTACCCAATGATGCTTAATATCAAGAAGACAGACAAGACTAGTACGATGCTACTACCCTATTAGCTGTCATTACATTTAGAATCGTCTGAAATGGACCACATGTCATCTCAATTTCGACCATTCAACCACGTTTTAATTGCCAAACAAGAACAACTAGCTATGTTGCAACATCAATCTTCTTCTGTAGATACCGGTATACATGTGTGATTGAGAAGGAAGGTGGCTCGTACCTCGACTTTATACAGAGTCGAGCCACGGCTAGAACTTTCTGTAGCTCTCTAGAGTTATAGTTGTTACCAAGATCTGGATCAATCATCTTGTCAATGGAGTTTGCAATGCAAGAGTGTTGTACCCATTCGATCAAGTCTTGGCCTTGTCTGTCTGATGATTGTCCTGTGATCAGTTCCAACATCAACACTCCTAGCTGGAATATCACGTTACCACATTCCTCATCCGCACATGATCCTACACGCCCGACTTAAAACTGTGAATAATGCGCGGAAAAGCATTGATCTTGGAAAGAAGAAATATATTTAGTTTTTTACCTTCCGAGCAAGCATCATTGGTTGTTTTTGGGTGGCTTTGTGTGTGTCTGTTGACGCGGATATCTGAAATCTACGAGAGGAAGATTAAAGTTATTGACAGTCGGTCTGTTTGTACCGGACTTTGTATGTTAGAACTTACTTTGGGGGTGAAGTTTTCATCCAACATGATGTTACATGAGTTCACTGAAACATCATACACCTGTGCTTCATTACTGCTGAAGATTAGCAAGTACTCCTGCGGTTAAAGAGCCGATCATAATCATCTTCTGACTCCTTTTTTTAAGTGAGTAATCGTTATGTTAAATACTCATACTACTATCCATGATTTTTAGAAGCAACTTACTAATGCAGCAGCGACTCCATGGCTATTTGGATGCGAGTCTTCCAGTTCAGAGGAGTCTTAAGCGGATCTATCAAGAAAGAAACAAAGATTCGATAAAGGATTCTTTTTCAAAAAATTTGTTTCGAGGGTTTTTACCATTGAGATGTTCTTTCAAGCTTCCATTTGCAATGTTGTCAAACACTAGCAGCCTGAGAAACAAACAAGAAGAAGAAATCAAAAGCAAACTAACAAAAACATTTTTTCTTTCTTTCTAATTTTCAAGAAACAATATGGAAACCTCTTGCGCCCGGTGCAAAACCCACGAAGTGTGAGGAGATGACGGTGGCGTAAGCGTCCCAAGAGTTTCACTTCCTCATAAAACCTCTCTCGTCCAAGATCGTGAGACTTGAGTTCTTTGACCAAAGCTACCTCACCACCTTTGAATTTGGCCCTGTACGCAGACCCGTGATAGTTGCTGTATATGACCTTACGGAAACCTTCTGTTGCTTTCATTATATCCTTGTACCCGAATCGTCTGACAAATTCTATTCTCCCTGTGATGATTAAGCAACTGGAAAGTTGAATCAATTTTTTTCCAGAAGCATATAACATACAGCACAAACTAAGAGATTGAAGAAGTTGATTTGGTTGCTCAACTAGGAAGAAATTGAGGTATTTAAGTCAATCTCTACTCGAGATCGACCAAACCAACCATGTACAGCTCAAATACAATCTTAAATACAGAGTTCACAAACCTTAAGTTCTTTAGAGTTAAGAAGAAACACAAGAAACAGCATGGTCTCACATATAACGCAAACTAAGTCACTCAAATGATTCATGAAACTGAGAAACAGCTACATTTGTGGGAAAAATAATAGAACACTGAATAAATTGAATTGGAAATTAAAACAGAGTATTAGTAAATTACAGTTTTCACTGAAAGTTTTCACCAGATTAGGCATAACTTATTATACCCTATAACATACCAAACTATAACGTCGATAAAATTGAATCTAGATAAAACTACAACGAAAGGCAGCAAGAACTAGCTAAGATGGTCAAATTCCAGTCCAGAATAGTGGAATCAGCTCAACAATTAGAAGACACTTATTAAAGTCGCATCAAATCTAAATAAAGCTAAAAGCTGGAAAGACGAAATCCCCGAAAACAAACGAAAGTATTTGCTTACCGGAGCGAGTACGGCGGAGCCACGCAAGAAGAAGAAACCGGATTCTGCGGCTCAAGCGAACTCGATCATCCATGACGATTCCTCTTTTCTTCACTGCTTCACGAGCTAACTCTCTTTCTCTCACTGTCTCTCTCTATATATCTGCTTTTTGGGAAATTGACGAGAGATGATTGAGAAAATTGGATCTGATGCTTTCTTGGAAGTTTTGGGGAGTGTCAGTTGTACGACGTGAGCTGTAAATCTCACCCTTTTTTTTTCTTTCTTTCTTTCTTTTTTCTTCCTTTTCCGTCTTTTTTCTTAAGCTGCCTAATCATAACGGTTTTCTAATAAGTTAAATAGTTTATAGTAAAGTAATTGTTGCTCACTGCCTGCTTTGTTTGTTTGTCAAAACTTCAAATTATTGGGATACTTGGCTAGTTGAAGTGAAATCCCACTAGAATCCCAAGAAAAAATAGCTCATACTTTATCAATAAGAAAAGTCTTAGGCCACAGAAAAACATTGATATAACTTTTTTTTTGAAACTGTAAAAATCTTACAGGCTTTCGTTTATAAACACCAAATCATCGTTTTATATGTGAAATTCTAACAAGCTCAAATCATTTAGGAGGAATTGTTTTGTGTGATTTCTGACCGAAATTACTAGTTTACACCTTATAGAAAATATAAAATTTTATGTGATTGATGTTTTTCTACAGTAATTTGTATAGTTTGGGGTGATAATGCATTTTATTTTATTTTCATACAATATAGTAAGATTTAAGAAGAGATGCTGTGTTTGGCCCTGCTGTGTTTCGTGTTTATCTGACACGCGTGTGTGTTAGAAGACTTTTACACGCTCTGCACTGTATAGTTTAGTATACATACGGACCATACACGGCACAGATCCAACCCGACCCGACGGCCCAATTGGAGACCCATATTCCACCAAAATCAAAATTCTGCATCGCTCTTCTTCCTCGCCTGTCTTCGGCCTTTTGCTTCTTCGTCTGCTTGACTGGTCTCCGGTACGTTAAAACTCTAAAATTTCATGGTTCCTCCTATTCTCCCACCTATTTCCGCTTTTTTGGTTTTCTCTGTGATTTCTTATCGTCCGTGAGCTTGATTTCTTTAACTGTTATGAGATCGAAATCGATGTTTTGTCCCAATTTTCGTTTTCGATTGTGCTCCACAAGTGACTATTGAGCTGTCTCTTAGAAATTCTTCACATAAAACCTGTATCGGAATAAGGAATCATTGGGACTGAAATTGTGAGAGGAAAAAATTGTTATTGTTCTATATAAAAAACTTAAGTCAAGATTGTTGAGCTGTGAAGATCGTTTGGTCGTAGTTTTAGACTTTATTGGGTTATGTTCCATCACTTTAAATTAACTGTAAGCATTTGGAGCTTGTCTCGGCTATGACTTAGTGACTTACTCCTTCGCGTTGGATATCGGTTTATGTCATGAATGGCTCCAAAAAATTGATCTTTTGGATTGGTTTTGCAAGTTCATCTGATTTTCATTTTGCATTGGTACATAAGGTTGAAGCTTTAGCTGAATGTATAGTTTATCTTTTTTATGTCCTTACTTCTTGGTTGGTGTCAGAGATTACATAACTGTGCTATGCCGCTGCTCATGAAGCGTACCTGAATGTCGGTCTGAGTGTTCAACTTTGTAGGTTAAATTTGAGAGAAAGTAAAAATGAGAAGACAGGGAAACTTTGCGGACTCACCTGCAAGTGCATATGGAGCTGGACAGATACAGAATGCACATTCTGATTTCCAAGGTCAATTAGAGGCATTCACGCCTGAGAGGGACCAACCATATTCAGATTCACAAACAGAGGATCAGTGGAGATGGGAAAGAGATGGCCCGAATATGTCAAGGCCAATGGCAACTGCTATTTACAATGAAGGTAAGTCTTTACTTACTGCATCGGTATATTCATAGTCTCAAAGAGCAGAGCATTGTACGGAAGATCAGCCATCAGGTGATGGATCCACTTCTTAAGTCTCATAGGCAATGGTGTTATTTTCCAGATGTCTTGGTAAATTCAACAATTTCTGTGTAAGCTACTGTACCAGGCAATGCTTATATCCATCTATGCCTTAGTTTCCTTTATTATCAACAACAGTTGTTCCTTTAGGTGGGTGAGCTTTCCAGTGACATTTTACATGACGTAAGAGGAACCTTTATTGCATATTACTTATAGTAGAGATATTTTCCGAAACCGTAAGAGGAAAGACGACAATGATATGATTCTTTCTGTAGATCCTGCATCGAGTATGTCTCAAGCTTTAGGATTTATCTCTACCTTCTGTTTACGCAGGTCAAGGCGTTGACTCATCGAGGACGTATGACCGTGGCCAAATGGATCCAAAATCAGGAATGGAGAAGCAAGGCAGCGATCCAAGAGCTCAAGCACAACACCAAGAAAACACGAAGCCTGGTTATGAGAATAACCGTGGGATGCAGACCTTTGAAGGTCTAGAACAGAAGTTCATGGATGATATAACAAGACTAGCAAAGGATCAAATCGAAGCAGAGGATGCAGAGATCGCCAGACATCGAGAGGTTAGCAACGAATTTAAAAGTTCTGCTACTGAAATACTCTACTTTGGGGTTTCACTTTGTTGATCTAAAAGCTGTTAACTCTGTATGCAGAAAATAAACACCATCAATACTCGGTACGAAGAACAATTAGCTGCACTGAGAGCAAGGCACACAGGTAAAAGAGAAGAGGTCATGAGGAAAGAATCACAAGCTAGGCAGCAACATTACAAGCAGCAAACCATGGGGATGATGGATCAGTACCATCCAAACGCAGTTGGTGGTGCCAATCTAATGCCATCTGGTCATCCCCAGGGTTACATTGGCAATGCTCAGGATCCAGCGGCTGTGGCGGATGCACCATCCAGATCCTACGGCTCAGATCGATACGAAGCATATGGAGAGAGAACTAGGTTTCAGGGAGGAACCAGAGATCACGGTTTCGAATCTAGGGGCCAGTACCCTGGTGGGACGGTCTACGACACAGTCTCACGGTTCTATTGATGTGTCATTACTTTGGAACATATTGTGATTTTTGTGACTTATAGATAAATTAAGCTTTTTAGACTATCCGGAATTTCAAAACGAAATCAGAGCTTGTTCTTTTTTTATTCTGACGAGAGCATGTTATTCACAATTTGTGTTTATATCGTTCAAGAAGAATTTAACCTTAACAAAGTGACAAATCGTGTGATAATATCACCTATAAAGTTTACACACGCCCAAAAGATAGTGGGTGGTATACGTATTTATTGATTACTTTATCGAGTATTATAAGTTTATTATTTATTCATATGAGTTTTTTTGGGTGATGATTCAACATGCAACTGAAAATTAATCAGTGCAAAGCCGTAAAATCTTCCCGTAATTCTTTTATTTACTTCCCTTTTGTTATTAAATTTTCATCTTTTAACCGTTTAAAATATTTACTGTACTTTCCAAAAAAAAGTAGGATTGAGATTTGAGATTATGCATAATTATTAGGGAAAAAAAAAGGGAAAAAAAAAAGATTATGCATAATTATTAATTTTCATCAGCGAATTTTAGTTTTTTTTGCTATATCGACCGCTTTAACTTTAAACATTCTTAAAATACTTTCAATGAAAACTCTAGTCGTTGAAATAGCCGAAAAAGTATAAATGTAAATTCACAGAATAGGTTAAATATGCTTGTATATAGTTTCTATCAATAAATATATGGGTATATAGTTTCTATTAATATATATATATGATAAGACTGGATATGTAAATTACTGATTATGCATGTGTATTTTCTGGCTGATTTATTGGCAAAATAAATTACGTGCAAACATAAAAAGCATTTTCGCTGTGAAAATGATACATATTGCAATAATCTACAACTTGTTATTTTTTGGTCAACGATAATTTACAATTTTGTAAAATAAAAATTATCATATAAATTTCCCTCCTTCCCTATATCATCTTCGCGAGGGACAATACTTCCCCAAAAAAGAAAAAAAAAAAATTGTTGGGCCAAATCTCTCTATTTTTCTTGCGTAGTAGATGCTGATTGTCTGAATAATATCGGTCCTCCTCTCCATATCTCTCTGAGAATCTTGTCTTTGCCAATCCTGTGTGGAGAAGAACAATGAGCGGGGCATCGTCCGAGGAATCTCCCGATTCAACTCAGCGGATCGATTCATTCAACGACGAGCAGAGAGTCTACTTCGTCCCCTTGAGGTATCTCCTCTCCGCCCCTCTTACTCTCTCTCTCTCTCTCTATCGCATTTTGTTTCTCTTTCGTGTCCTCCATCTTCCTCCTGATTGGAATATTCGGCGAATCTGAATCGCATCCGATTAACTGGGAAGTTTGATTCGGATTTGAATCTTATAGGAGTTTAAGAATTGGATTGATCTAGAGATTCTGAAAGATGGATCCTTTTCGGATGAATAGGGGATTGATATTTTGAGCTTTAGTGCGATGTATTGTTTCCACAGCTAGCGGAAGTATCAAATGGATGCGATTTGAATTCATTTTATGATTTTATGTCGTGAGATTTGCTTTTATATGCCTTGATGATGTTTTTTTGAGTTAGTTGTTTGTTGTACGAAATGCTCATTGAATCGAGAATTATATAAGTACTCTCGAATGGTATTGAAACAACATTTTGTTAACCAATGCGATATTCGAACTTGAGTTTCAGGTGGTGGAAAGATGCCCAAGATTCAATGTCTTCTGAATCAGTTGAAAAAAGAGAGATCTTGTATACAGCCACAACTGGGTCGTCTTATGGAGGCCCGATGAAGTTGATTAATAACATCTTTAACTCCGATATTTTGTTCGATCTGAGGAGAGAAGGAGATGCTTTACAGAACGGTGAAACGGGAGAAGCAAGCGTCTCAGGCAGGGATTTTGCTTTGGTCTCAAGTGATATGTGGCTACAGGCTCTAAAATGGTAAGTGTTGTTTCCTCTGTGCATGTATGATGGTTCCTTCTAGAATGACTTTGAGATTTTCTTCCATGGAGTTTTTCTTATTTACTGGCTGTTCATGCCTTTGAGGTCGAGCTTTTGAAGAAGATGCTGAGGCAGATTTCGAAAATTTTGAGTCACATTTGTGACGCTAAGCATAATTTCCCTTTATTTTGGACGTGTTGCCTGTTTAAATTCTTTATTAGAAGTTTGTGTTAGGATGTGTGAGAAAACTACAGATTATTGTTACGATGGAGGGTCTCTTATATTCTCGTAATATAGTTGGTAACTATTGTATACATGCCTCGGCTTCCTGTACACAGTACCATTTAACAAATCGGAGGTGATTTCCTTGATTTGTGACCTATTACTTCTTGGCTCCCAGGCACCATGATGATAAAAATACTGAAAGAGGTGTAAAAAGTTTCTCAGCTGGAGGAGTTGACAGAGGTGATGTTTATCCAGTACAACTTAAGCTCTCCGTCTTGCAGGAAACCAATTCACTAGCAGTTAAAATTTGCAAAAAGGTGTCTTCTAGCTTACAGCCTTTTGTATTTGCCTATCTTGTGCCTTGATGGTGTCACGTTTTCTTGCTTCTATAGAAGTGCAGTGAACGAGAATCCTCTTTTAACATGATAAAAACCTACATTGGATTCATTTCACTGGGACCTGGTTTCCTTAGAACTAAAGTTTCATAATTAAATTTCCCTACCAGATTGGATTTACAGAATCTACTTCCTATCTGCTGAATTTGTAATCTACAGAATATACTTCTAAACTTGAAACTTCGTCGTCCAATGAAGACTCATGTTTGAACCATGCTAGAATCGACTTAGTTTCTTGTTCATCCTATCTACTGAATTTTTGCTTAGCTTCGCGGTTGATGTTGTTATGGGTTCCAAATCTTACCTTAATCTTATGTTTGCCCGTATGCAGGACAATTCAGTTGAGTGCTTCAGAAGAGCATGCAAGATATTCAGTTTGGATTCTGAGCAGGTAATGTGTTTCATGCATGATCTTTTAACCTACTATGTACACGATATATGTGGTACAGAGATATTTCTGATATTTATTCATACAATTACAAATTATACCGGTACTTTTGGTTCTCTAGCTGCGCATATGGGATATTTCTGGCCAAACGACCATGTTTTTCGAAAGTGATGTGAACAATTCCAAGGATTGTCAACAACAAGCAGATCAAGAAGTATGTGTGACGCCTTCCCTTTTCCTTTTTTTCCCCCTAATTCCTTGATGCGGAATTTCTTATCCATCATTACTTTGGCCCAACAGATGCTCTTAGAGCTGCAGATTTATGGGTTATCAGACTCTATAAAATTAAAGGAATCGAAAAAAGAAGATGGTTCCACACAGCAAACCAACGGAATTGCCAATGGCATTAATGGTGGCACATCATTCAGGTTTGGACGGAGTAATTCTTTGAGCTTTTTGGGAAAAGCTGGAGAAGCGGGAACTTTGGGGTTGACAGGCTTGCAGAATCTAGGAAATACTTGTTTCATGAACAGTTCCCTTCAGTGCTTGGCTCACACACCAAAGCTTGTTGACTTTTTTCTTGGAGAATACAGTAGAGAAATAAATCTCGACAACCCATTAGGAATGAAAGTATGCCAATCTATGGTTTTCTGTATAAATACATTTTCTGCCGTGGCTGATTAATATATTCTCTTGCTCTTTGTTAGCCTCACCAATCAAAGTTTCTTCTGGCAGGGTGAGATCGCCTTAGCTTTTGGTGACTTATTAAGAAGTTTGTGGGCTCCAGGTGCATCAACAGTGGCCCCAAGGACATTTAAAGCAAAACTTGCTCGATTTGCTCCTCAGTTTAATGGCTTCAATCAGCATGATTCGCAGGTCAGGGAAAACACTTCAGTTTATAGAATCTGAATTAAGTGAGCCTTCCTGATGTTTCTTCCTGTCTGTCAGCATTAAAGACCGCGTATTGGGATATTCCATTCATGTGTTTCAGGTTATTTGATTTGGTTGCAGGAACTTCTTGCTTTCTTGCTTGATGGACTCCACGAGGACTTAAACCGTGTAAAGAACAAGCCTTATGTGGAAGCAAAAGATCGAGATGGCCGTCCAGACGAAGAAGTAGCTGATGAATATTGGAGAAATCATGTGGCTCGCAATGATTCAATAATTGTTGATGTGTGCCAAGTAAATATCTTCAGGTTCCTAAATTGTTTATATACCTCTGCCGACAATCACGCTAAGGATTGGGTTTGACTTGCACACTTGAGTTGTTTGAATTCTGCTTGAAAAATGTCGGAGGTAGTATTTTTAGGTTTTACGTATCATCTGATCTAAGCTGAATATGTTTGGAATTTCTTTCTTTTGATCGGTCAGTGCATTTTGTCTTCTTGAAGGGGAAAATAGTACCCTGTCGCTAACTTTGTGAAGTTATTAGATTGTTCTCTGTAGGTAAACTTTTTTAAGAATTGCTTTGTGTTTGATATGATGCTCTTTGCTCTTAATCTTCTGACTATGTCATGCATTTTAGCATTCTTGATATCCTCATCTTCTTTGGTTCAGTGCATTTGCTAAGAAAATATCCTTACATTGTTCGGTCACTAAGACATTTATATGCATTTCTGGGTGTAGGGCCAATACAAGTCAACATTAGTTTGTCCTATTTGCAAAAAGGTTTCTGTTATGTTTGATCCATTCATGTACCTATCGCTACCTTTGCCATGCACGTCAATGCGAACAATGGATTTAACAGTCATGAGTGCTGATGGTGGTAGTCTGCCTGTCTCATTGACTGTCAACGTTCCCAAGTTTGGAAAATTTGAAGATCTTCAGAAGGCTCTTGTCACTGCCTGCTCTTTACCATTGGATGAGACTTTACTGGTTACTGAGGTATATTTCTATATCATATATGCTATATTTGATGCCTTGATTCTCATTCTGGTGCTTAGGCCGAGCATTTGTTGACACAGACTATTAAAGTTCTCTTGACTTGGTTTTCACTTAGGTATACAACAATCGGATTCTTCGCTTCCTGGAGGATCCTACAGATTTATTAACCTTGATCAGGGATGGTGACAAACTTGTTGTATATCGGTTAAAGAAAGACGCAAACAATTCTCCTTTGATTGTGTTTATGCATCAGAAACTGGAAGAGTAAGTTTGCATAGTACTCAAATGCTAAGTAAGGTTCTTATCAATGCAGATTGCCCCTAAACCTGCTCTCTTTTACTGGTGGTTTGTACATTATCTGTTTTTTTTTTTATTTTTTTATGTTGGCTACAACATGGATTTAAGGTTCTTTACAAGCACTTTCTTCTGGAATCAGTATCTATAGCTCTTGCCTTTATATAATGTATATCTTACATGCTTTGTTCAAGTAATAAGTGGTAGTGCAGTTTAACCACGGTTGAGTAGTATCTTGCATCAAATTTTTTGTCTGGTGATGGTAGTGGTTACGAAATTATTTAACCGTTTCAATGTTTTTCAGGCAGTTCATCTGTGGAAAATCAAGCCCAACTTGGAAGGCATTTGGAATCCCCTTGGTCTCGAGGCTTAGTGATGTGGAGAATGGATTTGATGCTGAGAGCCTGTACTTGAAGTTGCTTAGTTCATTTAAGATGCCTACTGAATTCTTCACAGAGAATCTTGAAAATCCGATTGAAGAAGAAGCCACAGATAAAGCAGGTACCGATGGTACTACTTCGGTTGAGGATTCAAATTCCAGTGATGTGAAGGAGACTACTGAGTCTCTTCCAGACCCTGTGTTGAGGCTTTACCTAACCGACGACAGAGGAAACTCAATAGAATCTGAAATATTGAAAGAAAAGCCAGTAAATATTAAATCCAAAAGGGTGAATGTGCTTGCACGTTGGCCAGTAAAAGAGCTAGACGCTTATGATACTTGTCTTCTGAGTTCCTTACCTGAGGTTACAAAATTTGGAACTAAGAGACCCCAGGAATCTGTTTCGCTTTACAAGTGCCTTGAAGCATTCTTGACGGAGGAGCCTCTTGGTCCTGATGACATGTGGTGAGTTGAAGATTAAAATCATTTTCGTATCTATTCTGAGCTTTTTTATGCGTGAAAATTTATCTTTCGACAACCTTTTTTTTAGGTAGTCCTTCTATATTTCCAGTAAACAATGTGACTCGTTTTGTTGTCTTTTACTTTTTGGGAGCATGTGGCATTGTATTATGCTACGTCATCATCTTTGGAGTTATCTCGACTTTTGTCAATCTATTTGTGCGCCTGACTTGCTCTTTTACTAATTCTCTGGGTTACTTTGATCTTTGGTATCTGACATGAGAGTGCAAAATCGTTTTAGGTATTGTCCTGGCTGCAAAGAACACCGGCAAGCCATTAAAAAGTTAGATCTTTGGAGGTTGCCAGAGATCTTGGTTATTCATCTCAAGAGGTTTTCTTATAGCCGGTTTATGAAGAACAAGCTGGAGGCCTATGTGGACTTCCCGCTAGATGATCTTGATCTATCAAGCTACATCTCCTACAAGAATGGGCAGACGACTTATCGTTACATGCTCTATGCTATTAGCAATCACTATGGGAGCATGGGAGGTGGTCATTACACTGCATATGTCCACGTAAGTGATAATACATTTATAATTATCCTTTTATATGTCTCAACATCTACTTTAAAGTATTTGTATTGCAAAATTGTGGGAACCCTTGTAGAGTAGGACATCATCGTTAAAACTGCGGGTATCCAGATTATTCCGGATGGGTTATCATACCCATGATCCGGATGTCACTAACCTAGAGATATTATCATCGTTAAAACTGCGGGTATCCAGATTCATAGAGGGTTGTAGTTGGTGACCTCATAAGGATGCTATTTAAAGTTTCTCTCCGGTTTTGGGTAACGATCAGAGGCATCACATTATATATCCAAAAGCAGTTATCGTATTGTTTAAAGTATGAACTGGTTCATATTATTGTCCATGTCATTGTCCAATAAATAAATGCGACTAAAATTATTAGGCATTTACTTGTGCTAACAGGCTCATAATCTCCGTGTAGTCTATTGGATTGAGTCCATACCTTGGTGTGAATCTCTAACTCATAATCTTGTTCTTATTTTGCAGCATGGAGGTGATCGATGGTATGACTTTGATGATAGCCATGTTCACCAAATCAGCCAAGAAAAGATCAAGACCTCAGCTGCTTACGTTCTGTTCTATAAACGTCTAGTAGAAGGCTAATGAATCAGAAGCGGAAAAGACAAGAAAGAGGTATGTGCAGTTTTGCCACTGTAAAGGGTAGCTTATTTAAAAGCTGATCCTTATTCACTACAAGATCAAGATCAAAGCAGCTCTGTATTGAGGCTGATTTACAGGATAGAAAGCGAGAGAGAGAGAGAGAGAGATTAGAGAAGAAGAGCAGAAGCCCGAGAGGACATGTTGCGGGGCATTCATTTTATTTATACAAAAATTGGTGTCTGATTATTTCATTTAACTATATTTAAGCTAGAGTAGACGAATAGAGAAATGCTTTTGAACAAAACCCTTGCGGGATATGTTTTAACTGTTGTTTAGTTTTTGTGTGTCAGTTGGCTCTTGACCAAGAAGATTAAAGAAGCATCTACTTTCTCAACTGATTATTTTCTTTCCAAAGATTTTGGTTTTCTTTATATATTGTTCATCGTACGCTTTAAGGCATTGCGTTTAAAAATTGTTTGTCTTGTGATGGATCATTACTTCATTCTAAACAAGTAACATCACCTTATTTTTCTAGATTAACCTCATTGGTAGCAATTGCATTTGAGTTACTTGATTTGTATGTCTCCGACAAAAAAATAATTATTCTTTCTCGTAATGACTCTCCAATAAATCATAATAAAGAAAAGATCTTGTCATTACATACAAGAGATATAGACAGAGAAAATTTCTTTTCTGCAAAATGTATTTACCTAGTTTGTAGCAAAAAAATAAATGAAGACACTAACCTATATTTGATTTTTTTTTTCTTTTGGTCGAAAGTTGAATTTTTTTTTAAAACGACAATTTTTTTACAAAAATATATCTATTTTTATTTCAATCAATATTTAACATAAATCCACTTCACCAATAGCATAAATTTTGTTTTTTTCTCCGCAAATGTCATTACGTACGATAGATAAAAACTTGACATTTAAATTGGAGAATTATCAAAAAAGATAACTGGAAGAAAGATTTTTAGTTTTGAACTACAAATCTTTAAACTAGTCTTTCTTTCTTTTTTTTCTTTTTTTTTTTTTTGCTGCAACTAGTCATTCTTTTATTTCTCTATATATACACTATTTGATTCATAATAATGGTATAGCAAGAGATAATGGTGAAGATTAATTTTCATGAAGATTAAAGTAAAACTAAGCATAAAAGCGTAAAAACCAAATTGATGGAGAGTTAACTGGTTAACTAAATATAAATACAGTATTTAGTTTTTGTAACTAACTAACGCGCAGTACTTGAAGAGCACGAAGTGAGAGCTCTCTTGGCATTGCTCAACCACTCGATGGATCCACCTACCCTTCTTCTTCCCCTTTTAAACCCTAACTTTCTCTCTGCCACAACAACGGCTCGATCATGGCCTTGTTCTTCTCTCCTGCAACCTCCGCTCTTCTCTTCTTCTCCCTCTCCCTCGCCATTTACTGCACCATCGACCCTTTCAAGCACTGCGCCATCTCCGATTTCCCGCATTTCGTCGCTCACGAAGTTGTCTCTCCACGTCCCGATGAGGTTCCATGGGAGCGAGATTCGCACAACTCGCTTCAGAAATCGGAGATTCTGTTCCTGAACCAGGTCCAAGGTCCAGAGAGCGTCGCGTTCGATCCGCTCGGACGCGGTCCCTACACCGGCGTCGCTGATGGTAGGGTTTTGTTTTGGAATGGCGACAAGTGGACTGATTTCGCTTACACCTCGAGCAATCGGTGAGTGGAAGAACTGGACTCGATCGATTAACCGAGTTCAATTGACTGATCTCAGCTCATTTTTAACTTGATTTTGCTTGGTAATGATTGTATATATAGGTCGGAGATCTGTGATCCGAAGCCGTCTGCTCTGAGTTACTTGAGGAATGAACATATCTGTGGGCGTCCTCTGGGTCTCCGTTTCGGTAAGAGGACCGGCGATTTGTACATCGCCGACGCGTATATGGGACTTTTGAAAGTTGGTCCTGAAGGTGGCTTGGCAATGCCGCTTGTAACTGAGGCTGAGGGCGTGCCATTGGGTTTTACTAACGACCTTGACATTGATGATGATGGGACTGTTTACTTTACTGATAGCAGCATCAATTATCAGAGGAGGTAAGTTTCTCTTGATTCCTTTTTTCCGGTTCCTCTTTCGAAGTTGTTTGCGTTCATAGGGTAGCTGAATTGAATTTTGCCTGGAAAGTTAAGATTTGTGGTAATTGAATGGTGAGAGGCTAAAGATGTTGCTCAGTTGAATTCTGCAAAATTAAGGTTGCTCTACGTGAATTTGAGGGAGCATCAGTGTTGGAGAGTACGCTATGATATCCTGGAAATGGGCTTGTCTCTGTTGCATGTGATCTTATCTTTCGAAGAATGTTCTCTAGATTGAAATGGGGATGGGTACAGATTTTGTTTGAGTTAATGTGTGGATGATGCTGGTTATGTATGTATGGTGTCTGTCTCTAAGTTTCGTTCTGATTTGTTAACTGTGATCTCTTTCAGGAACTTCTTGCAGCTCGTCTTCTCTGGAGACAATACTGGGAGAGTTCTAAAGTATGATCCCATAGCTAAGAAAGCTGTTGTCCTGGTCTCAAATGTTCAGTTTCCGAATGGTGTGTCTATCAGCAAAGACGGCTCTTTCTTTGTGTTCTGCGAGGGAGATATTGGAAGGTGAGTAGTACTATATCTGCTTCGAAATCTTGATGTAGTGACCAATGTCTGGTGATGGGTTTATTGTGAAGTATATATAGACCTTGAATCAGTTGCCTTTCTAGTAGAAAAAAGGATTCTGATAAGCCCTTAAAACTCATTGTTTGACGAAAAAAAACTCATTGTGTATATGCATCAATGGATTCAATTCTATGTAGCATTGAAGGGTCAGTACCTTTAAAGACTATCTCGATCCATTACATGCTAAAGAATCTTGTTTTTGTTTGGATGCAGCTTACGGAGATACTGGTTAAAAGGCGAGAAAGCTGGAACCTCAGATGTGTTTGCGATGTTACCAGGGCATCCTGATAACGTAAGGACAAACAAAGACGGGGAATTCTGGGTGGCGCTTCATTGCAAGCGCAACTATTACTCATACATAATGGCAAGATACCCTAAGCTAAGGATGTTCATACTGAAACTCCCAATCACTGCAAGAATACACTACTTGTTCCAGATAGGGATGCGGCCGCACGGGGTGGTGGTCAAGTATAGCCCTGAAGGGAAGCTTGTGAAGATTTTGGAAGACAGTGAAGGGAAAGTTGTGAGATCAGTGAGTGAAGTTGAAGAAAAAGATGGCAAGCTTTGGATGGGGAGTGTGTTGATGAATTTTGTTGCTGTCTATGACCTCTGATTCCTCGACCTGCACGTAAAACAACAGCTTCTCTGGGTTTTTTATAAATTTAAGCACATTTTTAGAAGCAGAGTTAGGCTTTGTATTAAACCACCTTCTTTGAGAAAATATAAAGGCATCACTTAACACAACCAACAGTATAAGAGAAACATATATGTTAGCGACGTGGCATCACGAAATTCACAACAAAGTTACTCGAAAATCCGAAACCCAAACCGTAAATCTATATATTACGGGCAACTAATTTTTAAATCCAAATAATACGGACAGAAATCGATTCAATGGGTCGAAGGTCCGGTGAGCTCTTTACGCAGAGTTTCTTATGGGCTAAATGTGACGTTTCTAAACTTCTCAACTTCTATCATACGTTTTAGGGAAAACAAGGGGTTTAAATTAAAACTTCTCCAAAAAACATTCTCTTTTACTGCTTAAGAGGTGTGCCTTTAGTAGTCACGGCGACCGTTTCTTCTTCGCCTAAATCGCTTGTAGCCGAGAAAATTCGCCGGAGGAGAAGCAAGGGTTCGGTTTCGTTTCTCTTATTCTCTTCTTCTTCTTTTCCTTATTCTGTAAGATGGACATAACCCTAAATTTAGAAGCCTCTGCCTCGGGAAAATTTATTGCTGGATTCTGTTGATCTTGACTGTTACTAGGGTTTATGCATGCTTCCAGTTCATCGGATCACGTATCTTCGTTTAATTCCGACTTCTAATTTGTGGTTTGCTGCAGCATTTTGCTCTTTGGTATTCGAAGTCTCCACACGGGCAAATGGTGAGTTGAAATTTCGTTTTCTTCCTCCCGTTATATTGTTTGATTCTCCAGAAGAAGAAAACAATGGTACATGATTTAATAGGTTTGAAGTATGTGGGCTGATAGATATAGCATCTATTGTACTTGAATTGCAGTCGGATATTCGGAAATGGTTTATGAAAGCCCATGAAAAGGGAAATGGTAGTGCTCCAAATCGACTTCTTTCCAAGGCAGTTGCTGTGACTAGTGCTGCAGAGACTGCATCCATAAAATCAGAGCAGGTAATGTTTCCTGCTCTATATGTATTGATCGGTGTATCTTAGTTACACTGTAGTAGGTTTGGTCAGCAGGACAAAAGTTAGTGGCTCTTGCTTTGTCACGTGTTCTCTATGTTCATTGCATATTTTGAGGAGAAACTTGAAACACATGTTTGTTTTTTTTTATTTGTTTCCAGAGCCACTTGAGAGTGAGTTATAGGCGACACAATTATGCTAGTTTCTCTTATAATCATATATGCATTTGGTTTGTTTACTGGAATCTGTGTTATTTCTGTTAAAACCTTGGAGCTGATTGACAGGCTAGTGAAGACCAGGAAAGTGCTGCTAGAAGAAAAACGAGCAAGTATTTTGGTAAAGATAAAACAATAGCTAAAGATGAGAAAGAGGTGGGAGAAATTCCTGCCAAGAGGAAACTTAAGACAGATTCTGATGATTTAGGCAAGTCCCGTCCAAGAAAGGCTATCAAGGTTGATGATGACGATGATGATTTTGAGGTACCTAATTCAAGGAAGACTCGTGATAGCACTCCCAGCAAAAAACTAAAGTCTGGATCAGGCAGAGGAGTCACAAGTAAAGCCGTTGATATTGACGAGGATGATGATGGTGAAGATGCCCAAGAAAAAGAGACTCCTCTAAAATCAGGTGGAAGAGGCCGTGGCGGTAGAGCTGCATCAGGGGCCTCAACTGGTGGAAGAGGTAGAGGTGGAGGGCGAGGTGGGTTTATGAATTTTGGTGAAAGGAAAGACCCACCGCATAAAGGAGAAAAGGTCTGTACTGTACTTGACCGAGGATCTTATCTTAACATGATTACCTGGGGTCGTCATGTTTTAGTGAACTATCTCTGTTTTTCAGGAAGTTCCTGAAGGCAACCCTGATTGCTTAGCTGGATTGACATTTGTAATTAGTGGAACACTTGATAGGTATTTCATTGTTCTATACTTCTCGCTTTCCCGAGTTTGTTTTTCGTGTTACAGTTTCCTAAACCCTCTTGACATTGCAGTTTAGAAAGAGAAGAAGCAGAAGATCTGATAAAGCGACATGGTGGTCGTGTTACAGGCTCTGTTAGCAAGAAAACGGTATTTCTTCACACCTTGGTTTCATTTTTTTTTTGTTGGATTGAAGGTAATGACATAAAGTTACAATTCTTGTTTGCAGACTTACCTTTTGTGCGATGAAGACATCGGCGGAAGGAAATCCGAAAAGGCTAAAGAGCTGGGGTGTGTGTTCAGTAATTGCATACAATTACAGTAAATTTTTTAGGTTTTTTGGTCTTCGAGCATCCTGACTTGTAATATTTTTTTCAGCACTAAGTTCCTTACAGAGGATGGCCTATTTGACATGATCCGTTCCTCTAAACCCGTTAAAAAGTCTCTACCTGAAAGGACCAACAAAGGCACTGAAAAAGTCAGTGCACAGCTGAAGATAAGTCCTCAGAAGGAAGAGACAAGAGGTATGAACTGTACTGCTGTATAGCATGCACTTTGGGTATGTATCTTAAGTTTACTAGCCTGGTTCCAGACATTGCTCATTTGGCTTCAATCAATGCTTGGGTAATTCACTCAGTTGCCGTTTCTTCTCATTATCCCTACAATTAACAGTTATCACAATCATTTCTAGGCAAACTTGTAGCGAAAATTTCACCCAACAAGGTTCCCCCACATTCCTCACCAGCAAAGGCAAAAAAGAAAATTATCCAGACTTCCTTGCCATGGACGGAAAAATACAGACCGAAGGTTCCAAATGAGATTGTTGGGAATCAGTCATTGGTATGTATCGAGATTACTGTCTCTCACTTTTTGTTCAACGACATGAAGATGATGGATCCTATATCAAATTGATTGCAGGTTACTCAGCTTCACAACTGGCTGTCCCATTGGCATGATCAATTTGGGGGTACTGGAAGTAAAGGAAAGGGGAAGAAATTAAATGATGCCGGTGCCAAGAAGGCTGTGCTTATGAGCGGAACACCTGGTATTGGAAAAACAACATCAGCAAAGTTGGTTAGTCAGATGCTTGGTTTCCAGGCAGTTGAGGTTAGTTCATATTTGCTTCAGTTCATTGGTTAATGATCAATTCCTTGTCCATTCCTTGCTTGAAATATATACTTTTTTACTTTCTTTTTAGGTTAATGCTAGTGACAGTCGTGGAAAGGCAAACTCGAATATCGCCAAAGGAATTGGTGGTAGCAATGCAAATACTGTAAAAGAACTTGTCAATAACGAAGCTATTGCTGCTAACATCGATAGGTATGTTGTTGTTTGTTTTTATTCCTCCCAATGTTGGTAACTGATCCTAGATACTGTACTTGTTTTTTTCCCTGACTTGGAGTAAGATTTGATCTTCAGGTCAAAGCACCCAAAGACGGTTCTAATCATGGATGAAGTAGATGGAATGTCTGCAGGCGACAGGGGAGGTGTAGCAGATCTTATTGCTAGCATTAAAATATCAAAAATTCCTATCATCTGCATTTGTAATGACCGATACAGTCAGAAACTGAAAAGTTTAGTAAACTACTGCCTGCCCCTCAATTTCCGGAAGCCCACAAAACAGCAGGTTGGATTATGATGATTGTATTTTTCCTTTTCTGCATTTTCTTATCATAGGATTGTGCACAGGATTGCCATTATTATCCTAGATCTCATGATTATCTTTTTTTTTCACCATCAGATTCTTTTTATAGTAGTTGATAAGAAGTGCCCTATTTCTACTTAGAAGATAGGGCCATTGTGGAAATACCTAAAGTTTTGCACCTGCTTAGATGTCGACCTATATAAAAGAAATACTATAATTTTTAGTTGCATTGAGGATCTGGATGGTCGTATATCCTTTGTTCCATCATTAGGAATGCCGGCTCTCTTATGAACTTGCCTTTCATTACAGATGGCAAAAAGGTTGACACATATTGCTAAGGCAGAAGGCCTTGAAGTTAATGAAGTAAGATTCTGTACTCAATTTTTTTACTTTAACTAGATACTGTCAGTCAATGCTAGCCAATTCTACAAAATCTTACTTCAGTTTGGGACTATTGTCTTTGCAAAAAATCTGGTTCATGTCATGCTCCTTTCACTAATCAAACAAATGAGAATAATTATCAAAAACAAAAAAAAAAAAACAGAGAATAGAAGTATTAAATTTGGTGTAAAGTATATGTGTCATGCAAGGTAAAGAGCAAACATTCTCATTGCTCTTTTCTTTCTAAAGCCTACTTTTGCATTACTTGATATCTTTGATGCTATTTTCTGGAATTTAAGTCTTTGGGAAATTGAATGCTAGTTGTAATGAAACAAACGTTTAAGAATAGAATTTGATTCCTGTGTAATCTGTATCCACTGGTCATGTATGTACTTCATCTTTTTCTGCTTAATCTCATAAGCATTTTGGTGGTGGGCGTTATGTGCTACACAGATTGTCCCCCTGCACATCATATGTTTTTCCTTTTTTTCAGATTGCCCTGGAGGAACTCGCTGAGAGAGTGAATGGTGACATACGTTTGGCCCTAAATCAGCTACAATATATGAGCCTGTCCATGTCAGTCATCAAGTACGATGATATCAGGCAGCGCCTGCTAAGCAGTGCGAAGGATGAAGATATTTCGCCTTTCACAGCTGTTGACAAGTAACGTTTCATGTCATTTTAGCTTAATTCATCGATGCACATAGTATTGTATCTCTAAGTGTTTGGCATTGCCTATCTGAGGTTATAGCTGTTTTATATATAGAAGTTATTTCTCTTATTTTGTAGTAGAAAATTCATTTTTAAGTACTCTGGAGAGTTCACCTTGTTTTAACTGTTAATGATTTCCTTTCAGGTTGTTTGGTTATAATGGTGGGAAGCTGAGAATGGATGAACGGATTGACCTTAGCATGAGTGATTTTGATTTGGTTCCCCTTCTTGTACAGGTCTATATTTTTGGATACTTGTGAGCTTGTTTTGTCATATCTTTTGAAAACGAAAATAATTTCCTGCTACCTTTTACATTAGATATTTCTAGAACAGATTCTCACATTTGTACAGAACAAGGAAATTTGTATCCCATTTACCGTTAATATTAAATACTGTTTATCTTCTTTCGTGCTGGCAGGAAAACTATCTCAATTATAGGCCAAGTTCCACCGGCAAAGATGAGGCAAAACGAATGGAGTTGCTTGCTCGTGCTGCTGAATCTATTGCAGATGGAGATATTATCAACGTGCAGATTCGGAGACATAGGCAATGGCAACTCTCTCTATCTTCCTGTGTTGCATCTTCTATTCTCCCGTAAGTTGCTTCCACTTGTCGAGAATAAGATTGATCATTCTTTACCAAGATTGCTATTTTCCTCTCTCTACCTGGTTTGTGTTGCCGATGAACATTTCCATTTCCTACCGCATTCATTTTGTTTCTATGCTTTCGACGGAGATCGAGTTTAAAAAAATTTATGCCGCCATGTATGTTTATATGTGTTGTGTCTTTGTTATGGACTTCTGTTCTCCGGTGTCAAATTCCAGGGATTGAATATGATGTGCTTTTTAATAGTTGAGAACTAACGTGTACTTTTTTTGAATAGAGCTTCATTGTTGCATGGATCAAGGGAGGTGCTCGAGCAGGTAATGGTCTTTCATTACATCAAATGGATGTAACCTGGAAACTTTTGATATCATTCAGTGTGCCTCCTTTTTCTGATGAAGCATATCTCTGCTTATAAAATAGGTTTTGGTAAAAGTTTTCTATGTTGTAAAATTGAGCATGATTACTATTGCGTATGGTTATTGGTTATGGTTATGTTATGAGGCTGTTTCTCCAATTAGTAGCTCTGAAGCGGCCTAAAATATCATGCTATTAACAATGCATAGTTTTGGACACAATTATTGACTGCAGGGAGAACGTAATTTCAATAGATTTGGTGGGTGGCTTGGCAAGAATTCTACTGCAGGAAAAAATACAAGGTTGCTGGAGGATCTGCATGTTCATGTCCTTGCTTCCCGTGAATCCAGCTCTGGAAGGTAGTTTACACCTGTACAGTTAGCTTTATGATTTCTCTCTTTCCGCTAGTGAAATATTTCCCTCTGTTACGATTTACTACTTAGACAGTGTGTATTTAACTGTTACAATGCCTCTCTTCATATTTCATCCGTTTGTGAAGAGTCAACTTTCTTGACCTCCTGCCTTTCTTTTTACAATGTCATGTGATATATTTTCTTATTCCAACTTTCTGACTAACGCCAACATTGACGACAGGGAGACTATTCGTGTTGATTACCTTCCCCTTCTCTTGAATCGCTTGACGAGCCCACTTCAGACACTACCTAAGGTTTGACACTATACACTTGTTTGTAGAATACCAAGGACAAGGTTAATACGATGAGATATTTTATGTTACCTGTTACTTGATCGTATATATGTGAAAATATTTACCCAGGATGAAGCTGTTTCAGAAGTTGTTGAATTCATGAACTCCTACTCTATAAGCCAGGAGGACTTTGATACTATTATGGAGTTGGCAAAATTTAAGGTATACACGAATTCCTTTTTTTCGGGGGGATATCACTGCCACAGCTGCGACAACGAATCTTTTCTAATGTATTGCAAAACTTTACAAATCAGGGACGTGCAAATCCATTGGAGGGTGTCCCACCTGCAGTTAAATCAGCTTTGACTAAAAAATATAATGAGACGAATAAAACCAGAATGGTACGTGCTGCTGACATGGTTCAGCTTCCGGGAATGAAAAAGGCGCCAAAGAAGAGAATAGCTGCAATGCTTGAACCAAGTGTTGAAAGTTTGAAAGATGAAGATGGTGAACTGTTGGCAGAAAACGAAGAAGAAAATGAATCAGACGCTGAAGACTCAGGTACTGTGCATCTTTGTATATTATCATAGTAGATTCAGGTAACTTGTTCTGTATAATCAATGACAGCCTCAGAAAATATAAGAAATTTACCTTAAATATCTAATGGGACATAGTCACTATTTGACCAGATGTAATCCTGACTGGGTTTCTCTTTTTTGGCTACTGATAATATTCCAGAAGAAGCAACCGATGGAGAAAAGCTGGAGTCAAATCTAAAAAATCTGAATGCTAGAGGTCGGTCTTCTTACTACTTTTGATCAGCTGTGTTTTCCTTTAGAAAACCAGTCAGCTTAGAACTAAACTTGATACATCTTGGCTCTAAACGACGACGACTTGCCAAACTCTTTAATCCATATCTCTCTGGGAGGGATTTTGTTGAGCATCATATCTAAGTCTTAAACGAACTGTATAATCGGGTTGCATGCAGGGATTCAAGTTGAAGTGGATGTGAAAGGAGCTGGAAGTTCAGGTTTAAGAAAGGCAGCGGGTAAAGGCAGAGGCAGAGGCAAAGCAGCAGATGCCTCTGAGAAGAAAGCTGCAGGACGAGGCTCTGGTGCCAAGAGAAAGAGATGAGAAGCCAGAGAAGCCAAATCGTTTCGGTTTTCCGGCAATTTTACTAAGAAATGTCTCTTTCTGGAGTGTTCATTTTTGGGTACAGAGGATTTTAGTTTTTTTTTTTTTTTTCCCTTTTACTGGATTTGCAACTGAATGTAGGCTGCTTCTGGAGTTTCAAGGGCGGATTCTAGTTTGTATTGAGCGCAAAATGCCATTTGCTGTTTTACTGATATGGAGAAAAAAAAACTACCACAACAAGACAAAACTTCATAATGAGTGTACTTAGCAGATACATAAGTCTTGAATATATGGATACTTTCTGTAGAAGTTTAACTTAAAAGACAAGGTAAAAAGTAGTTTTTAGAAAAACATAAACTTCAAAGCATACCACTTTTAACATCATCCTGTTTCTCCAATAACACTTACAGTAGTAACCAACTAGGGACTCTACAATCTAGAGAAGCTTCATAACCAACAAAAGAAGATGCTCTTCTCGCAACAGTATTGGCACAGAAGTTTGCTTCCCGACCCTTGATGCCGAAGGTAGGTCGTAAACTTTGCCATGTTTGATTACTTACCACATTTGTGAAGCTCCTCGGTCTATATTTAACCGAGTAACAGCCATTATGATTGTAATCCAGGAATAATCATCTGCTGCAGCTATATTCCCTGGTTTTGATAGCAAAATCAACTCTATTTCTGCTCGAGGGTGCAAGTCTTAAGGGATCGGGTACAACATTCATCAGAACCATATATTAGATTACATTAAATTTGGTTTACTTAGCCAACTTTTTAAAGATAAGCAAGTAACATTCATATAATAGTAGCATTTAAGCAGAATTGATAGAGATCCGTAAAGTGAACACGACAATGTCAATTTACAACAGACCGATCAACCCACAACAGTCTATACTCTCTTTTTTTTTTAGTTTTTTGACATAACACAACACAGAAGAAGGCGTCTCGTCTCCGAGGCAAGCCTCCTTTTGGTCATATAACCTTTTTTATTATTTTTTTTTTAGAATCAGAAACTCCTCCTATGCTCCCACACGTTTGAAACTTCTGACTCTGTATATATTATATATATATCAGGATTTCACAATAAACAACATCTCCCCGTCTCTGCAAAGAAAAAAAAAACACAGAACAAGATCTTAGAGTTGATGAAAAACCACTTGATAATGCCAAGCTGAATCAGTAAATCGAGGGTGTAAAAATTTACCCTTGCCAACAAGATGCTGGCACTTGTTTTATTAGCCTGAACCAGAACCAGCCGCACATGTTCCTTTAACATCTCTTTCATTCAAAGAATGTCCATCACCCGCTTCTGATCTAGTATGCTCATTGTTTGATTCAGGAGTGTGATTTTCTGAGCCATTTGATACAGATGCAGTGTCGGGTCTACTGTTTTCTTTCATTTCTAGACGGTCCATCATGCGGGACACAGTGGCGATTCCGGCACTGACCTCTCTTTTAACCTCAGAGCCAAGATCTGCCATGGACGTGTTGCGAGAAAAAAACCTATCTTTCCAGTTCCTTGTGTTCTTTGATATCGATTCTTTGTATCTACATTGTGCATCCGGAATCACTTAGAACTGATCAAAACAAAAAAAAAAAAACATATAAAACCAAAGCTAAGCCAGACAGAGATGGGATACCTCGTTGAGACAGCGTTTAATCGAGACTTCAGAGAATCTGAAAATGATTGGAGTTCGGATGGTCCAGCTCTATCTTGATCACTGGGGGACGATTGATTAAGAGACCTGTGTATGGTAAAAGTGTAAAACAAAGGAAGGCTCAAATTAGCTGCATGTAACTACACGGTAATAAGAGATTATAAAGGGCGAGAATCAGGTTAAGACCTGCTGTTTGAATCAGATGCCGATGGAGAAACCTGGCGGCGATGTGAAGAAGTTGGTTGCTGCATGTTTGACTGAACAGAACCCTCCCCTAAAGTATTGTTAGGAGAGTGAGGAAGGCTTGTGACTGTGTCACTGTCATCTCTCTGAGATGGAGAGGAAGGCATGGGAGGATGAGGTGGAGGAGGCGAAGCATTAGGATGCGAAGAGAACACCATGAACTGTGGATGACCTTGACTTGATGACCTGCTTCTGTGGCCTTCTCTTCTTGCCCCATGTCTTGCTCGTCCCATAGCAGCAGCAGCAGCCAAGTGCTGAATGATTCGTTCTTCAATCTCCGCATTATCCACACCCACTGGGAGCTGCAATTAAAGAGATTTGTACATTGATAGAGCTCTGCTTAGATAATTCACTAGCAAAGAGATGTAATCAAATCAAGAGGATAAGCGGAGAGTTGCATACATGTTGTAGTTCAAAATCACCGAGAGTTGGGTGACGAAATATGGTGGCATTTCTAGATGGATTGAAGCGGAAATTCCTCTCCTGTTCAACAGCCTCAAGCAACTCCTGACTGGAAACATTGACAAAACATAGCTGAAAACCTCTATCCAGGTTGCCTCATGATAAAATTACCAATAAAGACAACTAATGCGTATTAGGAGGAGAAAATATTAACCTTGTGGGGTCTTTGAGACTAATTGATTGCCAACACATTGGGCACTGTGAACTCCTTTGACACCTGCAAAAATTGAAATATAAATACCACGGGTCTAATAAGCTCGCACAAACAAGATTATTTGAGAGTTCCTCTTCTCTCCCCCTTGAGAAGTTTGTTTATGGAATATCCTCACTTCCTCATAAAAAACTCTGCTTGTTCACAAGGAGAGTATGAAAACTCCCCACACGGCCACACCACAAAAAAAAAAAAACACACTTACCACTCAAGAATGCATTGGAGATGATACTCATGCTTGCAGCTAGTCAACTGCGAGATTAAAAAAACAAAAACAAAGAAATCAGAAATGGAATCAAATGGGAGATAATGAAAGGGAAAACATATATAATTTGGTTAAATACAGTAGATGGATCGCTTTCGCAGAAGGCTTCAAGACAAATGCTACAGGCGTCATCACAAGCATCTTGGATTCCCCCTTCAACAAAAGCTGCTGCCGAAGTCAGATGCCCCTCAGGCGTCGTTGTATCTCCTGCTCCCTGAAATTGAATCGTTCGATACCAAGATTTTTTTCAATAATGCAAAATCCATGAGCCAAGACGGAAAATCTAGAGAAATGTTCACAATTCGACACGGCTTCGAATCCCAAATTCGATAAACAACGACATTTCAATGAAAGAGTTTATACAATTACGAGGAATCAGATCAAAATTTCTCTACTTCAAAATCGCAAACCGAAAATACAAGCAAGCTCATTTTTGTCTCACAACAACAAAGATTAACGGGATTCGATTGGATTCCCTCCGCGCACAAATGAAATTCAAACGGGGAAACAAACAAAAAAAAACCCTAACCTCCATATAAATCGCGATGATGAGCTAACGGAGATGAAAGAGATAGTAAGGCTGATCAAGTCGATAGAAGAAACCTAGGGTTAAGAGAGAAAACAAAACCCTAGATTCATGATTCCCCCGAAGATAATGGAGAGAAAAAGGAGAGGGAGATGATGAAGAAGAAGACAAAGACAAAGACCCTTTCTTTTCTTTTCTTTTCTCTGCGCGTGGTCTCTATTGACTCTCTCTCTCTCTCTTTCTCATTTCTCTCACTCACGACGTTCATTTTTTTTCTATTTTTTTACTTAAAATTTAATTCAAGCCATTAACGAAAATCAACGCCTGGGTCCCAGATTATGTGCTTCCTTCTCTTGTACTTCATTCTTCTTCTCAGTTTTTTTTTTTTTTTGTCTTTTCTTCTCAGTTTTCACTTCACCTAAGACAATGTTTTTGTCACTCTTGCTCTAGAAAGGTACGAGACAGAAGAATAATTACGTCTATAAAATAACGAATATCTTGAAAAGATATATCATATTCTCTCTAATATTAAAAAACACTACAGAAGGTGGAAAGAAATTTAGACAAAAGTGGGTTAAAGAAAAGGGAAACCACCAAACAAAAAGCCGAGAGAAAAGAAAAAGATAAAACGAGTGAGTCGATGTTACAGTTTTACAAACTACGAACCCAACTAAGAATGATCTCTTGACAAAAGATTTGAGTCTTTTAAGAGACCGTTGTGTTTCCTTTTAGCTTCCAATATAGCCGAGACGGTGAAGGATAATTGCTAAAATGAGCATGCATATCGCAAAGATTAACCCGCCTTTACCGAGCAGCCACTTCTTTGCTTTCTTCGCTTTCTCTATCCCGGTTTGTGCCCGATCCGCCCATCGCATCTGCAACAACAATTTTACATATGAGACAAAAGTATTACAATCAATCAACTCTGCAATGTCATGTTTTCACATCCTCTGCAATGTCCTCTTACCATTTTCTCCAAGTCTTCAGGAGAAAGAGAAGCCATGGCTTGTTGAGCTTTTGCAGCATCTTCTTGAGAAAGCTTCATTCCGAATTGTTCGCTCATGCTAGCCATCATCTCCGGATTCATGTTCTTAATCATAGACGTGAACATCTACCAAATACAAGAGAAAAAACACTATATCAACATCTACAATCACGTTCTGTTTACTAAATAGGTGAATATAAAAACCGAAAATGACCAAACCTGTCGCATTGCTGGATCTTTCATCTGGTTTCTCATCTGTTCCTGCAAGTCAGCAGGCGCAGCGGAAGGGATGCTTGGTTCTAAACCACTTCTTGGAGCCATGAAGGAATTACCCGAAGAACTAGCTTCACCTACAAAACTATTAAGCCCACTCGCTCCTAAACTTTCTCGTGGCGCAGATGCTTCTGCATCGCTGTGCGATGTTGAAACTGGGGCGTTCGCTTTCAAAGACGATGCCATGTTAAACATCCTCTCACGCTCTTCTGGTGACATCTTACTCATCATATCAGATGCGAGTTTGAGCATGTCAGGGGTGGGTGCAAACCCGTTTTCGGCAGATGTTGCAGTTGGAGCGAAAGGGTTGTCTCCTTTAAACGAAGACGCTGTTTGGACCATTTTTTGAATTTCTTCAGGAGACATTTTTCCTATCATGCTTGAGGCAGTTTTAAACATGTCTGGTGACATATCTCCAGCTTTGCCTCCACTCAAAGCAGCAAGTGTATCCGGATCATTTTTTGAAATGAAGTTCTGAAACGTTCTGCAGACCAAAGAAAGAATAAAAATAAAAATAAAGTTATACAAAATCGTGCACATGTAGCAGAAAAGGGATAATTTAATATTTTTCCTCAAGTGATGATTAGAAGACAAACAGATGAAACAACAAATCAAAAAAGTAGTCTGGAATGGTGTTGCACCTGATTGCTTCAGGGTCATCTCTGAGTGCCTGCAATCCATCAACATCAGTTTTTACGCCCTGAGCATGACCACCACCATTGCTTTCTCGCTGGGACCCAGTAACCTCTTTAGACGGTTTTTTACTTTCTCCAGAAGTAACAGTGCTTTCTTCAGTAATATCTTCAATCACCACACCTAATAGCCAAAAGAAATAATAATCTTCAGTTGGTTCGCCACTCATGGATGAAGCAGATCATCGATGCATCTATAAAATGTCTGGTCTGACGAAATACACCAAATTTTTCCAAACAAAGCCTAAAGAAAAATTATACCTTTTGATGCCTTGCCAGGGCCTTCAACAGCCAATCTTTCTTTAGCATCTCTGCATTAGAAATAAAGTTAGGAGTTAGTCAAATTTATTTTTAAATTGCCGCTATTTAAGCCTCTGATGTATGCAGAGCTAAAAAAATGTTAACATTACCAGTAATAAAAAATCCATACCTTAGCACATCGGCAATTGTCTCATCTTCAGGGGAAACTTCAAGGGCCTTGCTTAGATCGGAGACAGCATCCTTAAGTTTTAGAAAATCAATGAGCAAACATAGATTCATGACATATTACGCACATATATGACAAGGATAAACTTCCACAAGCTAAAGATGAACTCACTTCAAACAGCCCTAGATCTCTGTAAGCTTGACCCCTTCTGTAAAGGGCTTTGACATTCCTTGCATCATATGCCAAAACCTGAATCAATGTAAAAATGTAAATTTATCAGAAGAACGCCAAGACAGGATTGAGTAGATCTTGAAACACTGTATGACATATCATGTATTACATCTACAACAACAACAAAAAAAGAAGCCAAAATATTGCCATCTCTCTTTTTCCTAGAGATGTTCGCATCTATAAATTTTCAGAAAATCAAGAACATGTACCTCAGAGCCTTCCTTTATGCATTCGTCATGCTGATTCGTCTTCAAATAACATGACATTAGATTGAGAGAACAAGCCAACAAAAGTGCTCCACCTTTCGAAGATGGAATGTCCTTCAGATTGTTCTTCGCCTAAGATATGGACCAGGAGCATTGTAAGAGAAGCAGGGAAAAAAAATCGAATACAACTACAGATAAAACTCTTCTTAGCAACAAAGAAACCGGAAAGTCAAGTAGCATGACAAAAGATACGTATGCAGACTTACACGCAAATATTTTTCTGCAGCATCGCTAAAATTTCCTCGGCTATGAAGCTCGTTTCCCTGCCAAAATATAATAGCAAAATGAGATTTAAGTTTAGACAACATCCATTCTGATTAACTCACTGCCGACACAAGTGTTAGTTGTTGCTATGGAAAAACCCCTGATTTTATTTGGCAACCCACCCTGTTTCGTTTTATTCTTTGTCAGCAGTTTTTCAGCTAGGTGATAGCTGTAACAGACAAATACAAGAAATCAAAGATTCCCTCTTTCCCAAAGCCAAGATTACCTGTTTTTTGAGCATCTGAGCTGCGTTAATTTGATAAGTAAACTGAGCATCGGCTTGGGCACGCATAGCTGCTATCTCTTCAGGAGAAGCTTTTGCCATCTTCTCGCCGATCTCAGCCATATCCTCTGGCCGAGTATGCTTGAGCTGTTCAGCAGCTTGTTTCAAGTCTTCGGGTTTCATGTTCTTCATACTCTCAGTTGCCATTTTCATCAAATCTGGATTTGACATCATCTGTAATAACAATGGCATAAATTCATACATAGAACAGAGTGAAAATCACCTAGAACCGTTATCAAAAATTAAATACCATAATAAACTCTAATTTTTTGGTTTCCGGGTATCTTCACTGGTTTCTTATTTTCTGTTTTGTTTGCTAACACATACAAGTACTTATGTCTGTCATTACAACATAACTACAAAGTAACTTTCGAGAATTGCTTCTCTCAGGAGAACAGAGTTGCAGAATATTGCACAGAGACATTGCATTCCACTTGGAAACGCGAGATTAATTGAAATCACGGGCAAAAGCAACAACAAGAGCTTTAAGTGAATCCAATTGCAAGGCGCAATAATCACGATCACATCAATCAAAGCAAAGAAGAAAAAAAACAGCAGGAAAACTAAATCACGCTACTAGAAACTAGCAAAGCTCTCAATAATCGTTTTCAGAACAAAGGAAAATCAATGAAGAGATTAAGAAACCTGCTGTTGGATCCTAGCGAAATCAGCAGGCGTCATACGGCTCATCTGATCCTGAGCGAGACGAATCATCTCAGGATCCATCATCCCGTTAAACATCGTAAGCTTCGATGCGGTTCTCTGCGATCAGATCGGGGGTAAAAAAAAAAATCAACAAACCTCTCGCGCAATTTCAAATCGAAATTCGCCGGAAAAAGGGATAGCTCGGAATCTGGATCGAGACTGAAACAAAGGCTAAATATCCTGTTGGAATTTGAAAACAGAGATTGAGGATCGGAAAAACTGAGGAGAATTGTTGCCGACTTTCCAATAGCGATTAGAGAATTTGTTATATATACATACAAATTGCAAACTCAATTGCTCAACCTCCTCGATTCACCGACCGGAATATGCCTTGAGTGCTAAATTACAAGTTTACCCTTCCTCTTTAACGAGGCAATGACGTGCCATTATTAATTAGTTAGTTAATTAGTATTAATTAGCGTCCGATGTTTAGGATCAATTGTGCATGTCGTTTATCTTCTTTTTTTTGTCAACGGGACATGTCCTTTGTCCATGTTGGATAAGGATGTGCAGAAACCAATCTCATGTTTTTTTTGTGTGCTTCTTTTATCTAAAACTCTTTGTTAAACTCTATTTCTTTGACAATCGGCCCAACGAAAAACTCCTAAACAAAATGTATGAACGTAAAATCGGCCCAGCAAAGCCTAGTAGCGTATTAGAAGAGACTGTTGAGGCAAAGTAAAACTAGGTCCAGCTCGTGGAAGCCCAGTGATCTAAGCAAAGTAGAAGTTGGCTATCAAGTCAAGGATAAGAGGATCGAGCTCGAGATGATGGCAGTGGCAGATCCAGCAGCGCCTTTTTTATCAGGGCCAAATATGCTAATATTTACCAGTTATGCTACTAATTTTCCAACATATAATTGAAGGGATATACGTATAACAGAGTTAAATGACATGTTATTCGTCAATGTAGGTCTGTTACTCATGATGTTTCAAGATCTTCGAGCACGCATTGCCGAAGCAAGAGGATGACTTTAACCATGAATCCGCATATATGAAGAAAGTAGAGAACGAATAAAAAGATATCTAACTGAAAACATATATACATCTGAAAACTTTTTTTGATTTATTCACAAAGAGCATTATATCTATATATGTTTCATTTTGTTTTTTGTTTTTTTGGCTGTCTATGCTTCAATGACTATGTAATTTTTTCACATCACAAAACACGAGAGAAAAACACAATTCAGATAGTTATCAATGATTAGTATTAATAAAAAAAGATCCACTATTCAAGCATAATATAATTGGAAGGTCTGACTCTGACCCATAAGTGCAACAACCCGGAAACATATCCAGATGCGCTAAATCCTTTAAAAATCCTACAATTTTACACAATATACTACTAGTTTGATTCATTTTCGTAAACATAATTAAGCGATTACTTATATATTTTCTAAAGTAGGTTGATCGCCTTAAATTCCATCATCTCATTGGCTCTTGATACGATATAGTGTGGGTAGTGGATTTTTCAACATCCAACTCAGATCAAGTTGAACGTTTACAATTCTCATGCAGTAACTTAAAAGAAGTCGTATCATACTGGATATTCTGATATATTTTTTATTTTTTATTTTATCGCAACCGTGTTCATATATGGAGTAGTTTTTATTTTTTAGTGGCTTGTAATCTTCCAAAATTCTTTGTTTTCATCATTTTACAACAAAATCATTAAAATAATTCGTCAAAAGTCCAAAAGTATTTTTGCAAATATAAGTTCGATAACAAGAATTAAAGAAGATTTTTTTACCAAAAAAAAAAAAAATTAAAGAAGAAGAAGAAAAAGAAAGGTGAAGGATGGTGGAAGGAAACAGAAGGAGAAAGCTTTGATTGTTGTCGGGACATGGAGTGATCTCACGTGGCAGTTTCACTCTGATTGGTTCCTTAAACGTCGGCCCACGTGGCATGCCACTTGTCACTAGGACCCTCTCTCTCTCTATATTACAGCAGCAAGTTGTACGATTGCCGTTCTGGTTAAGATACGTCACATCAATTCTCATCCCCACCTTCCATTATGGTTTTGTATTGCGGTGAAACAGATTTTCTTTTTTTTGTTCGGAAAAAACAAAAAGTGGTTAGAGATTAGTTTAATCCTTCTAAAATGTACTACGTTTAATCCTTCTAATATGTATAGTTATGCAGAAATTCAGTTTTAGTTTACATGAAATTAATTTTACCAGAATATATCGACACACCTAATAGTTGTTCATCGTAATATCTTCACATTAGTTAACACTAGCCAAGACACACAAAATTTATAACTCCGTATGTTTTTTTTTTTGTGACTCCGTATGTTAGAAGTTTCAAAGTGAATATACATACAAACCAAACAAAAAAAATCTACCGGTTGATAATATTTACATACCATGGTAATGGGAAATTTCAATAATTAAACTCTCTTCCTTTTTAAAGAAAACAATTTTATATTAGACTGGAACAACAGGTCGTGTATATAAAGTGATAGACGTCCATCGTAGAGAGTTGAGACAGAATAATAGATACTGCATTTCCTAGTAAGATTATTGATTATTTTTCATAAACTCATAGAAGGAACCAAAAATACTGTACACAAATTACCATTGGAAGATGAACATTCCAGTCTTATTAAATCGCCGTATAGCTATGCCTTTAAAATTAAACCAGCGAATTATTTCGGTTCGTTTAAGTTGAAATTTTGTAAACAGTATTTTAATATGTGAACAAATTAACCCATGACTGCTTACAGATTTGACGGAAACTGTTGTGACATTAAAACGAATGCTCTAATTCATACACACTAGGAATATACATGCACACATAGTTGTGACATATATACACTCAATTTGATTTTCTAAACCGAATGACGTTTATCACATGTCATCTTCGAACCAAATTAAGAATTCTTGATAAGTTTGATTCACGAAAGATGGATATGAGTCGTATGACATCATACTTGACATTAGAGAGAAAGTAACATTTGGTTTGTATATTTTGTCTTTGTATACAGCGGGTTAGCCACTACGAATGCTGAAGGGCTGCTATATGCATATGCATGCTGATGTGTGTAGCAGATTTCTTTTTTTTTTTATATACAAAAATCAGTGATCTGTAGCAGATTTATTTCTTGGTGAAAAGTTTCTTATAATTAAAGATTCGATTTGTGACTACCAAAATAATTATACTAACTTGTGCATTGGTGTGAATGGAATCCCACAGAAAAGGCTCTGATTGGTAGAATTGGTGGTCTTCCAACACAACTAAAACTAAAATCATTTGCATCTTTATCCACATATTCACATCACCCGTCTTATCTGCATTTTATCCCGTTTCTTTAATTTATTCTCGTTTTAAAACAAGTTTAGCATGTTATCAGATTCAGTTCCACTTTTTCTCAAATTTTAATTATGATTGGTTTTTGTTCTGATGTGTACTATTCTGGGGAAAAAAGTTACTGCTCATTTGAAATTACTCTTCTTTTAGCGGAGTATCTTTTTCTACTGTTCAAATATCACATGGTAAGATGTTTTCTTAAAACATAATTCACCATTGACGACCAAAGAAAAAGTAGAAATAAACTATTATGTATATCAGTACTTTTGTTTTGAAAACCATTCATAAATCTTTTTCGGAACTAATTGTTGAATTAAATATAATTATAATATATCACACTGAGAAAAAGTGAAAAACCCAACATAGATATGTTTTTGGTGTTACAAAAAAAATATATTTTTTATTTGAGTAAGAAGGAACTATACAACAGCGAGCAGAATCACGTTCCCATCCCTTTATATTTCGACTGCAGTTTTTTTTTTCTTTTAGTTAAATGAATGTTGATTCCAAAAAAACGTTTATTACGTCAAGTACATCTTTTTGAGATTTTAAATTAAGGCGATCTATTAATTAAAATTTAAAAGTAAATAAATACGAACGAAGCTGGGTGGTCCAAAGTTGGCAACTAAATGATAAACAGTGAGTCATGCATGCAGCACATGCATGCGATACTTCATAATTTACGATACCCCAATTATTTCCAAATTGAAAAGAGAAAAAGATGGAGATTATGGAATCTAGAGAAAGTTGATAAATAAATTTATGAGACTACATTTTGATCATATTTTGGTCCGGGACAACGTACACACACACAAAAAGAAACTGTAATGGAAAAAGTAGTTTCATTCATCTAAACTGAAACTTCATGTGGAGCAACCAAGAACGATTTAAGTTCAATAACTAAAGTTATCGCCACAATAAATATAGTGGAATATATTTGAAATCACAATTTAAAATTTACATTTAGAAGAGTATAGTTCTACGATCTAGTTACGGCCAGATCAATCGTCTATAATATTTCCGGACAAAATTAAATGGGCTAGATTAATTGAAGGGAGATGAATGGACAAGTTTGATACCCAACCAGGCCCTAACCACCACACTCGAGGCAGTAATTATTGACTCTCCCTTGCAAGTTTTACCCAACGACCACACTCCAAGCAGTAATTATTGACTCTCCCGTGCAAGTTTTACCCAACGACCACACTCCTTTTTGTCCCGAATATAACCATTGACTCTTTCTTTGCCCCCAATATATCCATTGACTCTTTCTTTGTCCCATACATACATGACCTGCACGCCGAGAGAATGATCTAAACTCAGATCTAGAGCATATCCTCATAAAATTCAATTATTTTACATCCAATCTGAATTATTAAACAATATTTTTAATTTGCTATATGTTAGTTTCAGTTTGTAGAACATTAGATTTTCATTATTAAAAAATAATTTTAATTTTTTAAAGGGCATAAATCTTACAAAATCAAAAGTTAAAACGTGTTTAATTACAATCACCCAAAATTTCCACAAATCAAAAGGGTATACAAAAAAATTGAATTTGTATAGGAAGTATAAACATGATAAACCTTAAGTTTGATTCAATTTTGTTTGACAACTTATAACATAACTAAATACATTGTGGATGCAAGATTTGAATATCCAAAGAGGGTTGGAAGAAAACCTAAAAATCCCAACCCAAAAACTAGATTGGACAACCCTACTTCTTAACTTCCCAAGATTGTTCATACATTAAATCTGAAAACAAAATCCAACACCAACATCCATGTTATATCTCTTCTAAACCGTTACATAATGAGTTCTCAGACAACCTTTCTACGATGATGACTGAATTTTGATACACATATTGGTGGGTTCAGTAGCGGAGCCTACGTCGGGTCGGTCGGAAAGATGGAGGCACACGTGGTGATATAAATAAAAATTGTGTCAAAGCTATTTATAAAACCAGAATTGTGCTCAGTTCAATGCTTTAAAATCACTGGTTTTCTTAGTGCAATATAGGATAAAAAATTTGCCTCCTCTAATTTCGTATTACAAAAGGAAACATCGCAAGACACCTTTCTACAAGGTCACAGCTAGAGATTATAAGGGAGTTGTCATGCAAATTGCAACAGAAGGGGACAGTTTCAGCATTTGTGGCCATGGTGATTGAGCGACTGAGAAGAAACGAGTAGATGAAGAGAAGAAGAGATGATGAGAACAGCTGTGAAGCAGTGGCTTAGTTGGAAGTGAGTTATCTGATCTAGTAGATTTTATGATGATTTTGCAGAAAATATTATTGTTGAATTTGGTAAAAAATATATAGTGTACTAATATTGATCTTGATAAAAACAATAGAGGGAGTATAAGTATGTATTAGTTGTGCGCGATTTGTATAGTTTTTTAGTTATTTATCTTATTAGTGAGACTTGGATTGTGGTAAAAACGTGTGATAAAGTTTTATTCTGGACAGTAAAAACTGAGAAGTTAATCGAAAAAGGGACTATATATACATCAGTGATGTAAAGAAAACGAAGAAAATGGATTATTATGGTATGAATAGAGTTAACTGTTGTAATAAAGAAATTACTTTCACTGTCACAGTCGTTTGGAGAAAAAACGCTGCCAAAGCGGAAATAAAGGAGAGACCAAATTGGGTAACAGTTGCCATACCTCTGTCCCTCACTCCCTCTTCAGAGTATTATTTATATAGAAGGCAAAATAATAATTTCACAATCACAAATCTCATTGAGCCGCAATTCTTTTAATTTGACTTCACCGGTGGCCCAAAATTTACTCCATTTTTTCAACCATATATATGTATTAATATTGAAAAAATAAATTACACGATCGATATAATTCACTCAGGATACACATAAACTTATTACCGAGTAAATTAAATTTCTTCAGAGTGAGACAGTCTCTCTCTCGGATTTTTAATTTGACCAACAATAAATTAACAATTTTCCGACGGATTATTTACTATTTGAGCAGTTAACGACTTAACGTGTGACAGTTATGTTAAAAGGGCGGTATTGAAATATAGTACTCAATAAAAGGGAAGGGAGAAGGATGATAGTTGAATAATTAGATAGAAACCTCGAATTTGGACTATTTTTTTTAAGGATTAATTTGGACTATTTCTGTGGGTATATATATCCACATTATTGCTTGCAGACACATTTTCACCATACCTTCTCCTTCTCTCATAGTCTGGTGATGTCATTATCTCAATGTCTTTAGTACATCACCTTTTTGTAAAATACATAACTGCTACTACAATTCGGATCCTGCATGCATTAACAAATAAATATAAAAAATAAAGACAAATAAATCTCAAACTGTTATTCGGGTACATTTGTGTAGTCGCTCAAGATTTTTTTTTTTTTTGACGAATAGACTTTTTTTTTTTTGACGAATAGATTTTCCTTAACGGCATCAATTAGAAATCGATCGATTTAAAACCACGGGTATAATTTCTATTCTTTCTTCCGTGGCTTTCATTTATGATATTCGGTTTACTTACGTATCTCCATTTACATGAATTTTAGTTTCCCTTAAACATTTGTACCTCATAATATCGAATATCATTCTTATAAGATCCTGGAGTTAGCAATGAATCTGACAAACTAAAGTTTCAGTTTTGTAGATGTTTGACAAGTTTTTGAAGCAGATGGCCTACAATTTTATAAGAAAATTTCAGTTTGAGTTTATGAATTAATTAGATAATATTGTTTCTTTATCGTCCACAACGTGTTTTCAAGAAATACAACATTGTCATCTTTTAGTTATCATCAGTTCTGTTACGATGTAGTGCAAATACTCTATTAATTTACATATATTTTGGTTATTTTAACGAGAATGAAAAACATTTGTGAAGTGTTAGAAAATGAACTAAACTGTTTACATTTGTATGAATGAAAAACATTTTTGAACTTACCAAAGACCATAGTAATATCTTGTCAGTAATTAGAATAAGACTTTGTCATAAGACTTTCCAAATATATAAAAAGAGAGCGGTAGAACATTTGCATCATATGAGTAGATTTACGAAAAGAAAAACAATATTTAAATGAGCATTTGCTGATCTTCATGTAGATAGGGACCCACTGTACTTGCAGACAAAGGCTTTAACAGAAGACTAGTATCATATGGATTCTCTTCTCTTAATTCCCCAAATACCCTCCTCTCTCTCTCTCTCTCTTGATGATATTTTGGAAATCCACTCGGGCCATTCCCAAAAAAGAAAGAACATTGCATAACCCTCATTATCCTTGTCCATTTAGAATTAGTCAAAACAAAAATCTTCGGTCTCGATAAGACACTTTTTCTTTTGTTGGACATCATCTTACTAAGATTATTATCTCTTCCAACATTTATATTATCCTATATTTCGTATTAATTTAGCATGTTTTGGCATTTTGCAGAGGATAAAATTTCAGAATTCTTTTTTAAAAATCAAGCACTTACATTGAAAAAAAACAAGCAATTACATAAAAAAAGAACAAGCACTTACATAAAAAAAAAACAAGCACTTACATTGGACCAGAAAAAGAAAGAAAAATTGATTCCCCAAATTTTTCTGTTGAGTAGGAGGACACTTTGGTCAATTACTGCCAAGTGCCAACCATCCAAGCAGAGACATTTACGGCAAAGTTTAATGAGAGAAGAAAAGATTTATATTTTGCCAAAATAGGAAAGAAGAAAAACAAACAACAAACAAAAAGATATGTCTCTCGTACGTAAAAAGAAAGAGTAAAAACTCTCTTTTCTTAATATTTTCATTTTTAACCCTGAAAAAGAGATGTCTACAATCTTGGGCTAGAGCAGAGTATTTATACCACCCACGAGCCTTTGCTTCTTCCTTCTTCTTCATCACCTCTTCTCTCTCTCTTTCTTTATTTCTGTTTTCTTTCCGGAGACATTTGTCTGATCTCATCATCATCAATCACAATTACTCAAACAAAGCCTTGAGAAAGAAAAGAAAAATAAAATGATCCAAGAGAAGAAACACCTAAGATTAGTGTCTTCATAGTAAATGTTAATGGTCAGATCAAACAAGCAAGAACCACGCGTCTCTGCTACTTACATCCGATCTCTCGTGAAGCAACAACTTGCTTCTTCCACCGCCAACACCATGACCACAACCACAGATACCAACGGCGGCAAAACGCAAACGCAAACGCAGACGCAGACGCACAAGAAACAAGTGAGAAGACGACTCCACACTAGCCGTCCTTACCAAGAACGCCTCCTCAACATGGCCGAAGCTCGTCGCGAAATCGTCACCGCCTTAAAACAACACCGCGCTTCCATGAGACAAGCCGCCATGATTCCACCGCCGCCTCCGCCGCCGCCGCAAAATCTGTTTTCTGCACCGCCTCCTCCTCCTCCTCCGGATCCATTTTCTTGGACGAATCCTCATCTCAATCTCCTCCTCCCGAATCAACCCTTAGGGCTAAACCTCAACTTCCAAGATTTCAACGACTTCATCCAAACCTCGTCAGCATCTTCTTCTTCATCATCATCATCAACATCATCGTCGTCTTCGAATTCATCATCTTCATCGATATTTACTACGAATCCGCATATCTACTCCTCCCCTTCACCTCCTCCTCCAACTTTTGCCGCCACTTCTGATTCGGTGGCTCAGCCGCGGAAACAGCTTATGGAACCGGAGAACGACGTGGTGACGTCAGGTTGGTGGTCAGAGCTCATGATGAAGACGGTGGAGCCGGAGATAATAAAGGCGGAGGATGAAGTCGTCGTAGTCGAAGATGACGTCTTCCCCAAGTTTAGTGACGTCATGGAATTTCCTTCGTGGTTAAACCAAACAGAGGAAGAATTATTTCATCCCTACAATCTCACTGATTACTCCTCCCCTCACAATCCTCCCTTGTCCTGGTAAGTACTATTTCTTTATTTTCTTTTCTTTTAAACTCAATTAATTAGATTAGAAAAAAAAAAGTATTTTCGATCTGTGTTCTTCTTCCGGAATCACCGTTTGCGGCGGCGAACATTGCGGCGGTTCTGCATAAACTTCAGTGGTTATTGAGCTGAGGCAGAACACAAAGCAGAAACCTTTATCCTTTAAAACAAAGGAGGAAAATCTCTTTTGATAATTAAATGAGAGACTAATTGATTAAAATACGAAGAAGAGTTTGTGAAATTTGTGGAATGAAAAGGATCCACATCGGTTTATTGCATGATCTGAAGCTGTCCAATTTTGTTTTTTTTTGGTCCAATGATAATATCGCCGACATCTATAAAACACTATCCTTACCCTTTTTTTTCCGAACTGTCCCTAAACGGTCTTGACGTCATCTCATAATTTTATATTATATATTTGTTGTATTATCATTGCTTGCCTTGTATAGATGTTGAAAAAAGAAAGAAAAAAAAAACATTGCTTGTATTATTTAACTTTGGTTTTGCTAGGCAACTTATTTTCTCTTTAACAAACGTTCGTGATTCTATATTAGTTTAGATTTTTGTGGTAAATGGTTTATCTAATGTTTCAATTGAATGTATGGTAATTTATATTACAGTATGGAGATTGGAGAAATTGAAGGCACGGATGGAGACGACTGGCTTGCTTGAACCACAAAGATTGATTACTGTTTTTTTTTTCAGACATGATGGATCAACTCTTTGGTTCTTTTCTTATTTTTCTTATTTATTTGTTTTCTTTCTAATTTTTTTTTTTTTGTTCGGAGGCATAAGAAGATATTTTGAATCTTTAAAATAACAACAAGCCTGCGGAGAGCAAGAAATGTTCGATTTGGCATAGTCACATGAATGAAATAAACTTATTTCGTTTTTTATTAATATTTTTGGTTATAGAATTAACCTTTAAAATACCTGAAATAAATAACATTTGCTAGAAAAATACCTGAACTATTTAGGCTCTCTAAAAAATACCTATTATATTTCAAAGTTTTATTTTGATACACAAACATTCAAAATTTGAAAGTTTAACACCATGATTTTGACACCGTTTAATTGTTAAATGGAAACTATAGAACGACGTTTAAATTTTAATCCCATGTGTTCTTACTAATCCAAACAGACATTATTGTCCATAATAAATCGATTTAAACATATATTAGTTTTTTCCCCAAGTCGAAGAACCCTAATTTCTATCTTCTCTATTTCATTTCTCTTCTCTTTCGATTTCCTCAGATAATTTGGGTTGATGACTATTTCATTTTAATAGTAATTGTATATGTGAACATGTTGGCTTTCTGCTAAAATTACTCTTCCAAAATGGAAATTTACATTAAAAATAATTGTATCATTGAAAAATATCATGCAACCCAAAACCAATTGATTCGACAATTGGTGCTTGGAAATTGAAAATCAATTTTAAGATTTCTTTTGATTTGGGGCAAAATAGATTTGGGAAAAACAACAGATGAGTAAGAGAGGGAAAGTGAAGAGACGATGGATAAGAGAGTGGAAGAAAGAGAGATTCTCACGTCTGTGAAGACATCGAGAAAGAAGAGAAGGAGAAGTGAAGAGAGAAGAGAGAAGAGAGAAGAGTGAAATTATGGTTTGTCGATTTAGGCAAAATTAATTTAGGGGTAATAATGTCTTTTCAGATACATCGTGTAAAAAATTAAACGGCGTTCTACGGTTTTCGGCTTACAATTAAACGGAGTCAAAATTGTGGTGTTAAACTTTCAAATTTTGAAAGTCTGTGTATTAAAATAGAACTTTGAAATATGTTAGGTATTTTTTGGAGAGCCTAAATAATTTAGGTATTTTTTAGAAAATGTTAATAACTTCAGGTATTTTAAAAAAAATTTCCTTTATTAAATTTAAATACTTCGTTTTTTTGTTTGTTTTGCTGATCATTGTTCTTTATTGTTATTCTCAATTTCTCATATATAGTTTTCACAATCTTGTCAAGGCTGTTACACTTTAGCTAAGTATTCTCAGAAAGGACTTATTTTCTTCTTTATCAGTTTCAATATTATTATTGTAAATATTTACGACAAAGTAGATTAAACAGATAAAAGTAGACCGGTTTCAGTTCACATACTCGGTACTGTGTCCAATCTAGACTTTCTTCTTCTGCAGTTTTGGAGATTGTTTGACTAGTAAAAATCATGAAGCTTGTGAATATAAAAATGCATAAGTTTACATAATAAAAGACAAAATTTCCAACTTTGCATGAGATTCTTTCTCAGCACATGATTTTGAGATCACTATAGTCTAAACTTTGCTGTTGACAAAAAAAAGGACTCTAAACTTCGCTATTATCATCATATGCACCACTCACTTCATCAACGTCCATCTCATCATCATCTTTCTCAAATCCAACACTCAAATCTTCATCTCCCGAACCACTTTCCAGCAATTCTCTCTCTTCCATGTACAAAGTATCACTATAAGTTGGAATATCTCTCTTCCTTCCTCTGTAACCCGTAAACCTCAGCAACTTCTCCTTCCAAAGTATCAAAGGACACTTCTCAATCAGTTCCGGCCCTTCGTAAGCTTCTGTCAAGAACACACTAAACCTCTTCCCTCTCTCAGAGACATAGAAGATACCACAATGCTTCAAGAAGATCCTCATCAGCTTCTGCGGCATCACAAACTCCCTCCTGAAATGGGTCAGATGATCCGTCACCAACCTCTTCTCGAGTGTAAAGCTAAGCAGTTCGTGCATAACCGCGATTGCCCGCTTATCGAATTCCTTTGAACCAGCTTCGAGTCCACGTGCATCGGCATAAGGAGACAGGTAAGATCGTTTCTGAAAATGTTCGATCTTCCCTCTATACCTGTACATTTTCTTGTATGACGGAGGAAACTTCATGGGAAAAGCCAGAGAAAGCATACCTGGCTTGTGATCGTTTGCCTCGGTTAATCCTAGAGTCTTTTTCTCCAACTCTGTGATAGCCCAAGCTGGATTCCATGAAACAAGCTCAAGATACTCGTCTCCATCCCCAAGTTTCACAACTTTAAAATGCTGAGGAAACTTGTGGACCCAATTTATCCTAAAATCAAGAGGCAGCCCAAAATCCCTCCGGAAATGAACGATCTTATCCAATGGAAGCTTTTTATCAACAGACATCATCAAACACCTGGTCACATGTTCTGCAGCCTTGTCTCCATTCTCCTCGAGCAACCTGTCATGCTCGTCCAACAAATCCTCTGCTTCTCTTGTCATTCCACACCACAAGACTGCCCTCTGATCCTTGTACAATTCGAACAATTTGGGAGACTTTCTGATGAAATCGCTGATCTTATGTGGTTTAGGCAAATTGATCTGCCGCCTGTACTGCTCCAAAGACCTGACAGTCATTATCATCTCTGGCTCACTCTTCAGCACCTCCATCAAGAATATTACTTTGGAAGCTATTTTCCATTTCTCTGTCGCTACTTCGAGCTCACGGATTCTCTTTTCCTTGCTCCTATCTTGAACACGCTTGCTGCTAGTCATTGACCTGATCCATACCCGCCCAAAAGGGGATTCTCCGGATAAAACGTTTCTTTCAGGCATTATCACAAACATGTTGTGGGCGTTTCCGTAGAATTGCAGCCAACATCGTAACCTTCCCATAAAAACCTCAGCTTTGAGCACCTGAACAATGTAAACAAGATACAACAAAATAGCAAATCCAATGAAAATCAATTTGTAAGACCCCAAGTTCTGAAAAAACAAGCCAAGTGCCACATGTTTGTATTGCAAAGAATAGGAATCATGCTCACTCTCTCGGCCGAGTAATTCGATAAATGGATCGATGATTACGAATTTACGATCAACGAGGAACTAGTTTCAGATTCCATGTGTGATAGAACATGTGCAAATTCGTCAATACCTCAAACTATACGGCGGAGAAAGATCAGAGTTTTTCGGCACGGCGGAGAGAAGAAAGATGGGCGGAAAGCCATGCGACTGTGGTTCGACGGCGACGAGAACAGCAGGCAGAGTGTTGTTGTGTTTCGTGTCTTCCTTTTGTTGTATATGGGCCCAATAAAGCCCATTCACTACTCTTATGGGCTTCTTTCCATTTTAGTTTTAAAAATTTCAGTCGTCGTATCCAGTATCCAGTCAAAAGCATATTTCTCGTGATCCTTAATTGTTTGTTTTGATGTCTGAGTGGAGTCATGTCCGAGAGATACAAGTTTAGAAACAACAACACGAACATCATCATGGATCGTGCGTTGGTGTTGCTCGTCAACGTCATTCACCGTTGATACGACCAACAGTGAAACCAATTATTTTTCGTATTTTTTTCCTCAATACAAGGGAAAATCTGTTTTTGGAAAGGCAAAAACCAAAACCTATTTGAAAAAAAAAAATTCACAAACAATCAGGTCTAGTATAATGTAGGTCCAGCGCAAAAAGGAGGAAAACCCCAAATTCTTTCAAGTGTAGCTTTCATAAAACGTGACACAATACTATGATAGGATGCTGACCAAACACATGTCTATCTATTAAATATAAATGATTTTAAGTAATTTATATATGGCAAAAGGACTCGAAATATACCAACCTATCCACTTAAAAATTTCATGCCTTTCACTTTTTTTTTTCTTTGCGTAGGCAGGAAAAAATAATCTAAAAGAGGGATACCGATTATACTAACACGGTAACACCATTTCAAAACCAATTAATTATAATTGCAGTTGTTTAGGTATCTCTTTCGAATTATTTTGCATCATTCATATTAGTCAAATCCTATTTACACTTGAACTATGTCAACTTAAAATCATTTTTTAACATTTTCACCAAAAAAAAAAACTTAAAATCATTTCAATGCTCATAAAAATTTCATTTTTAAAATCTATCGATAATTAGTAAATAATACCTGTTTGTTAACCATTTATACTTAATTGGGTGTTTTTATTACAATTTTCGATACAAATTTCAACCAACAAAAAGCAAAAACTAAGCTTTCGTAAAAAAAAATAGAGCAAAATGCCAAAATCTAAGCAAATACGGTGGCTGCCTCCCTCAAGATCGCATGTTTCGGATCTCTCAGTACGGTATTTCTGGTGTTAACAGTTTAACACAATTAATGTTTCGTGTCGATTGACTTATATGTATATAGTATATATGTATATCTCGTGAGACTAAAACTAGAAAACAAAAAGTTCAAATGAAAGTGGAGAAAGAGAGTAAAATAGAAGAAAAACAGAAACATTTGTAACATACATAAATTGGCGTCAACAACGGGTCGGAATAATTCAACGCAAAAAGAGAGTTAAGGTCTCCTGAATGGATTTAGTTTGTTTTATAAAAAATATTAGATCTTTCTTATTCCCACAAATTAGTTTCCTAAAAACTAGGAAAGTCCTTTTCATTTGTTTATAGATTTTAATATCTCTTTAAATTTACAAAATCTTTCCTGTTTTTTTTTTCATCATTAGAGTTTCTATGCAAAAACTAAAAACTGAAATAGCAACAACTAAAACCACAATGTAAAAACCAAACACTATAAACTCAGTTTTTTTTTATAAAAAAAAACTACATATTCATAGTCTAATATAACATGCTCGTATCTCCTCCTTTAAGCTATATAGTACATAATTGGATTAAAAGTCCAAAAATTGTTGGTTAGTGAAAATAGAAAAAAATAATAATAAAGAAAATTAAACACATGCTAAATTAGGGCACGTGTGGAAATAATAAAACATGACTGCGTCTTCATCAGCGCGTTTCCACGTAATCATTCACTTCAACGCGCAAACTACCTGCGACCTTCTTCTTCGTTCTTCTAATTCTCATAATCTACTTATCACATATAAATACACTAACAAAGCCGCCATTCTCACTATACTGTCAACTCCCAAAGACACCTGAATATTTATATAAAAAAACCCTAATTAATTAATAACCAAATTATTATAGACAGACAAACACTTATTATTCATCACTCCCTGCATTTGGTTTATTTATGGATGCTTCTTCGCAACGGAAATACACTGGTGTACGGAAGAGGAAGTGGGGAAAATGGGTGGCTGAGATTCGTCTCCCAAACAGCCGCGACAGGATCTGGCTCGGCTCCTTTGACTCCGCCGAGAAGGCCGCGCGTGCTTTCGACGCGGCTCTTTACTGTCTCCGCGGCCCCGGAGCTCGTTTCAACTTCCCGGAGAATCCGCCGGAGATTCCCGGCGGTCGTTCTCTGACGCCGCAGCAGATTCAGGTCGTAGCTAACCGTTTCGCCTGCGAGGAACCGTTACCACCACCGTCGCAACAACAAGAACCACCGTCTCCACGTGGCGATAAGACGGAGGAGGAAGGAGGAGGAATTTCGGCACGTGGGGAAATTAGTGGTGGTGGTGGTGGGCCGACGTTAGGACAAGTTGGGGAAGATAATAACCACGAGGTTTATAGCAATATTAGCAATAATACGACGACGTATAATTGGCCTTTAATGTGGGAGGAGAATCTTGTGGTTCCTACTACGTCGGATGAGTTTGCTGCTTTTTTCATGGACGACGATTCCACGAATTTGTATTTCCCGTCGACACAACAACAACAAGAACATGAGCTCTCGTCTGATTTTTACTACGATGGAGCATCTGTTGTTGAAGATGATTACTCTCACTACAGTATTAACCTTTGGAATTTCTGAGATCCTTATTTTTTTCACAAGCGATCTTGGACCAAATATTCCTCCATTACTGAAGGTGAATGAATCATTTAAGCTAGCCTCTTAGTTTCCTATAGTTTCCTATAGTAGACTAATCGCGAGTTTTCTTATTTTTTATTATTCTTTTATATATTAAATTTTACAACCAATTTCTTTCACATGTGCTTTGTATCTATGTGCTTTTACTGCTTTGTAGTACATGGCACATTACTTCCACTCTAGTTTTCTTTCTTTCTTTCTTTCTTTTCTAGGATTTGCTTGCAGTTTTTTGTGACAAGCCAATCTTGACCCCTATTTAGTTTGGTCTTAGATGGTTTTCAAAGTTTATACATAAGGAAAGTTCCATATTTTTTTTATATATATGTGTGTGTGCGCGCGTGTACTAGATGTATGTTCATTTTATTGTTATACTGTTATTGAATTTGACAACTAAATGACACTGGAAGCAAGCAATTATTATGATATATCAAGTGACAAAAATGTTCATTCAATAGTAAAATAAAAAGATAAGTCAAGAGAGCTAAATAGGTATCTTGGTTTTTCACTGTGTGTGAAAAAAATATTCTTTGGAGGAAATCATCATGAGGATCTATATATTGCAATTACAGGATTCACAACATCTGCCAAGTTAATATTAAATTATGTTTTGATCCCAACTTGGCAGATGTTGTGAATCCTGTATTTGCTTCCAATGTCATTAATGACAAATCGCTTACAACATTGTAATAAGTAATTTCTTATATTATTAGTGGCATGTTTTTCTCTATAACATTATAATATATGAGCTTCATTAATCTTACGTCACATTATTAGCTGCATATCTATTCTCTAAAAAAGCAGAGAATGACCAATAGTTTGTGTGGAACCCTTGGCATTTTTTTTTTGGTTGGAAAGACATCCAACAAATAATCTAAGCGCCAAGGTTTGGTCTTTGTGTGCTTCGCTAACAATAAGGGAACCGGAGATCTCAAAATTAGCACAATATGCAATGGGGTAATTGGTATCACAACTTTACTCAAGAAATATACCTTGGAGTTAAATGAAAAACTCTTACTCAAGAAATTTATCGGCAATAAATTACGCATACTATTGTCTTTAACGTTCATAACATTAGTGAGACTCATAAACAAAATTTGTCTAATCCATCTCATTCTACGTAACTCGCGAAACTGTTTTTTTGGCATGCTAAACTAGTCTTCTTTTGGAGTCTTTCTTACATATATAGGCTCCTTAATTTGTTTCCTTACCAGTCGTGAATGGTATTCATTCAGAGCATAGTGATATTATCTTCTTTACCTCCAACATGAACCGATCAACCACTTTAGTTTCTTTAGCACTTAATGAACCACTTAGTTTAGTATGAAAACATGAGAATATAAGTTCAAACTCACATCTAAATTCAAAAAACAAAAGAGAAGTACACTCATGATAGCAAAAAAAATTTGTCTTGATATTGAGAGACGAAAAAAAAAAGTTCAAAGAGCGCAAAATCTTCATTTTTTAATTCAATGATCAAGTTATTGTTAGACCAAAGTTGGGTTGGAATGTGTTTTTTTTTGGTGGGCCGATCTGCCGAATTGGGATCTGAGTTACATTTCATTGTCTTCTTGCTCCTTTAGTCTTGTTTTATGACCTCTTGCTGTTTTCAATTCTATTTCTCTGGTTTTTGAACTTAACCGTTTCATAATTTTCATTTTTTTTTTTTGTCAAGCTAACAAGTTTTTAGGTAGTTTTACATAATCTGTATTACCCCCACACTTTCATTCCTAATGATATTTACAGTTTAACGAAAAATTGGCTTCATGCGTGTACTTGATTTTTATTTTGGCATTAAGTTTTTACCTAGAAATAGAATAGTGGCCCTATAACAAACAACTACGGATGTAATTAATGTGGTGTTTTTAAGTTTTTACCTATCTTGTGGACCGTTTGTGATACATAAACGTGGGAGACATATATTTTGTATACTTCTTATTTTGTTGCCTATGAGAGATGAACATGCTTAGGCGTCCATAGAAAACAAATTTCTTTATCGATTAATTCAACAGAGGACACCATCAATTTAAAAGAATTAAATGTTCGTTTACAAGAAATATTCAACATTAAATTGACTAGCATGACAAGACAAAAATATGCAAGCTATTACTAAGCAGGAAAAAATTACAGGTTATAGCTTAGAAATCAATTTGACTACTAAAAGCAAGATTGGCAGGTAATTAAAGAACCCATTTATTACTTTAGGTGCTATATAACTTCTTCCTTCGCCGCCCGGCCCGCCCCTCCACTCTGATGAATTAACACTAAATCATCTTCTGGCAGATACATCCAAAAATAGACAAAAGAAAATAAATATAACAAGAATCAAAAAAGGAAACTAAAATTAACAAAAAGTCAGCCTGCATCATAAATATATGTAATTTTTAATCAATAAAATTTAATATTAATCATCCCTTTCTCTCTATAATTGTTATTTTTTTTCGCTCTTGGAGGATCAAACGTGTTTGCAAAAGCTATAAGAAATGGCTCCGTCGTCATTTCTAAGCGTCGCAAACTTCGTTGAGGCAATACTTCGCCGGAGATTCTCCTCCGCTGGTCTCTCTCTGCAAACACAATCCATAGACTCCGAAACCACCATACAGTTTTGGAGCCCACCACCGTCTCCGTCGCCGGAAAATAAAGAGAAACCGTCGCTCCTCCTCCTCCACGGGTTTGGCCCTTCCGCTTTATGGCAGTGGAGCTATCAGGTAAAGCAACTCTCTCTCTCCTTCCGTCTCTACATTCCCGACCTCGTCTTCTTCGGCGGCTCCACCACGTCTTCTTCTTCCACGGAGGAGAATCGGTCGGAGATGTTTCAGGCTTCGAGCATGGGGAAGCTGATGGAGAAGCTCGGCGTCGAGAGGTTTAGTGTTGTCGGGACGAGCTACGGTGGGTTTGTGGCGTATAACATGGCGAAAATGTTGCCGGAGAAAGTGGAGAAAGTGGTTCTTGCTAGCTCCGGCGTTAATATGCGGCGGAGTGACAACGAAGCGTTCATCGCCAGAGCCAAGTGCCGTAGTGTCGCGGAGGTGATGCTTCCTTCCTCGGGAACGGATCTCCGGAGATTCTCTGGGGTGATTTCTTCTATGAGACTCGATTATGTGCCAAATTTTGTCTTGAACGACTTTTGCCAGGTATTTTTACATCTTTTTTTTTTGTATTCTTGGAAGAAAAACAAAAAGTCCCTTCAACAGTTTTAAACCCTCTTTTTAGTCTTATAACAAAGTTTCAAAATATTTGATAACCTATAAGTTATGCATCCGAAATCCGAATGCACAACGTTACTTTAGGTAATGGATAATATTAGTAAAGATTCGTAATTAATTACTTTACGTCTCCACCTATTTTATAAAAGTGTCTCTTTATCATTTTGAAAGATATTTTTTTTTAAAGTTAATCACGGGAATCGTATTGCTGATACTCAAACTAGTCTAACGCCAAGTATTATTGCCATTTAAAGCGTCTACAATGATCATAGAATTTCAATTTCAATGAATATATAATCTACAATTAATGATCCTTTGGGGGCTACATTCTTTTTGGAAACATATATATTGACAACACACTTATTAAAACTTATTATAAATTAACACGAAAATATAGTGGAGCATAAAGATGCACTCCACTAGCTTATATTTAAAATGAGTGATTGATAAAAGAAGGCAGCGAAAGTTGTCACTTTCAGTTGGTTATAGTAAAAGCTTGTGTAGGATTGGGGAAAGAAAGAACGGTATACGTAGTATTGCGCTCCCAACATTAAATAAATATTATATCGCTATTGAAAAGAAGAGTTTGGCTTTGCATGATTGATAATATGATATTTGAAAATTGGGAAAACACACAGAAAATGTATTCGGAGAAGAGAGAGGAAAAAGCAGAACTTCTGGAGGGGCTAAGTATTGGGAGGGACGAAAAATCAAACGTTTCTCCAGTTCAACAGGTTCGCTAATCGCTATCACCATTATTAGTATTTTTTGGTTTTTACGCTATCATTAATATTACTTGTATATATGGCTAAGAATTTATGACATCTTACTAACATATGTAAAAAAAAAATTCAATCGTTTCAGAATTAGATTGTTTGTTTGCGTTTAAATTTATAGTTAGTGTATATTTTGTTAAAATGTGCAACAACTTTTTTTAAAAATTTGTTTTTGTTAATTCGTAATGTAAACGCCAAATGCAAACGTGCGGAATCTTTATATTTGCGAACATTTACATTTACATTTGCATTTTTCAAAGATATTTATGAATTTGTGTTTTCTTCACATGTAAGCGGGAATGTAGAAACCAACGTTTGTCATAATTCAGACCTCAGTTGCCCTCGAATGTTAACAATATGATTAGTTTGTGTTTTTTGGGGTAGTTTTTTTAATGAATAAGTGACTACGAAAAAAAAACTGCATGATAAGAACTTGCATTAATAAGTGACACAATAAGAAATTTTTAATTTATTTGATTCATAAAAATTAAATACCTGATAAATAATGAAGTAAGCATGAATCATGCAGGATGTAATGCTGATATGGGGGGAGCAAGATCAGGTTTTTCCTTTGAAAATGGCCTATGACCTTAAAGAGTAAGACCCTACTACTTCATAATTCATATATATATATATATATATATATATATATCGTATCATAATATATAAATAGCATAGGGTTTTGATTTTTCATTGCTTCATTTCTTTTAATTTCTTAATTACTCAAATTAATATTTTTGATCGAGTTCCAAATGGTTTTAAGATATTACCGCTAGTGGCGTCACTACGCTTAATTAGTAGATCCAAGATGTAAAATCCGTTTGAATGGAATAATCCAAGCAATTACGTACAACTATATGATCCAGTTCGTTTTTTTGCTTGGTAAATATGAAATTATGTGGTTATGAACTTATGATATAGAACTTTTAAAGTGGTTTTGCTTAAACATTTTTGCTATTCAAATTTTAAGATTTACTTCTTTTTTGTAACTACGAGCACAGCTGATTCCAGTAAACAAAACTTTGATTCTAGTTTTTAAGTTGTGTTTTATAAGCTTATTTAATTGGATTTTTAAGGTTTTGATATCATTTAAAAAATATGGAAATAGATGTTTCAATCGAATCGAATGGTTAATTACATCATTTTCTAGTCGATATTTCTGTCCGAATTTTGATCTAACGTAAAGTTACGTAATCGGATAGCTAACTTCTATGCTAGAGACATCAAGAGACGAGATTAAGAACTAATTTGGAACGAATATAGAAATGAGTTATTCATAGTCGTGTGTGTTTATATAGGTTAAAAATAAAGAAAAAGAAGTAATTAATTATGTATGTATATATTTTACCAGGATGTTGGGGAAGAAGGCGACGCTGAAAGTGATACAAAAGACATCACATATTCCCCACACGGAAAAGCCCAAAATATTCAATGGCATTGTCATGTCTTTCTTGTTATCTTCCTCTCCTTCACTATAATTGTAACATCCATATTAAACTAAGAGTTACGAAAATTTTCTGATTTCATCAATGTTATAAGTGTTCATGACATGCAGTATTAATTAAATATATCTAAAAATGTTTTTGTAACTGTAATCCATGTCAAAAAAATCAATGAGGCTAGATCAATAGGTGGAAAAATTATTAATCGAGATAACATGATAGTTAACGATGTTCGGTTCTTCCATATTACTCCATGAACCTATGTCTTTTGTTTTTGAACAAACTCCATGAACCTATATATGTCCATTAGATAAGTTCACCAAAATTGGAAAACCAATGCAACATTTATATCCGCGATCAAAACGTGTCTTTTAACCTGCCGTTCCGTTGTATAAGACAAAACTTACAAGTTAACTCATGAACTCTCCCAAACCTTGGGGTTTTTAACCGTTTAGTTCTCTACAACACTGCCATTTTCGGAAACCTATTGTCAAGTTTCAACGATCACATGAACAGAAGGCAGAAGCATCAACAATTAACAACAAAAACGAATATAACGACCACGTAGCAATCTTTTTTGGTAGATAATGAAACGAAGATGACGATTAAAACAAAAGAATATGATAAAGGACTAAAAAGCTTGCTTTGGACCTTTTGGGTCTTCTTGACCGTCTATAACTCCTCCCTATTGTAGAACTCTACTTCAAAGATCGACTAAACGTCTTCTTGAGATATTGATTTAGTAATGCATGTTTAGGAAAACGTCTTTAGTTAGTACCAGGAGATCCAAGTGGTCTTTGAACAATTTCATCTACAACTCTTAAAAGAGATCCATGAGTTCCTTTTAGACTCAAGAAAATTAAAGAACGTAATGGGCAGAGCGAAAGTTTAAATAGACATAGTCTTTGGCCAAGAGTTTCCTTTCTCAATCTGTTGTTGAAGATGAAGTTGGTTGTGTAAAGACATAAGCAACCAAAGAATGTATAATCTGCATCTACCACTCCTTTAGGTATATAAATGTAAATAGGATAATAGATAACATAATGGATTGAGCCACGTGGAGCAAATGGAATTAGCAGCCAAGGATTAGGCAACGCCACATGATCAGACGGACAACACGGTGGGGGCAATAACAACATTGAGTGGGGTAAGTGGTTCGGACACGTTAGACTGAAATATTAATCGAAAAGTGAAAAGTGAAATGAGAGTGGGTCTATAGATGGGGAGCTAAAGGAGGACCCCATGAAAATGGTCCTCAAGAGATGAGATCCTATGTTGATACGCGATTTTGATTGAATTTGAATGCTTTACGCAACCTACCCTTACTAGTCTTCTTTATTTTGTCTTCTTTGGTCTTCTCGTTCTCGTATATAATAAATAAATAGATTTTTATAATTCAGCAACAAATTTTTAAAAAGCTACGAAACAAATATTCAAAAAAGCGGACAAAAAGATTTTTTCAATCTCTGAAGATGATTTTGTCGATTATATGACATACAAACAATTCAGAGATGATAATCGATAAATTAATGCCTTCCTCCAACTTTTGATAGAATAATTTCAAATTTATAACACATCAAAGTTCATGCATTTGATGCCAATATTTTCTTCCGACAACTTTTTAATGCTACAAGTGTTTATGAAAGGATTATTCTTCGCATATAACTTGTAAATTGAGCTGGCTAAAACACCATTGCTGACCATTAATCTGTATTGTATGAAAGATGTACTACTACTTTAAAAGCGTGGGATCGAGAAAAAGAAAATTTGTTTCGAGTCTTTTTTTTTTATTTTTTTTTATTTTATAGTTAAACACGTTTGTTTCAGATAATCTGATAATTTGTTTATGATTATTAACGTGATGATTGTTTGACATAAAATAAAATTCTTGAATAACTTAGTTTGATGTGTAGATTTTATAGGCAAATTAATTATAAATTACAAAGAATTATTTTAATTGTTATAATATTAATCATGATGTTTTTGTGTTAAACAAAATACTTTTTTGAGTATTTTTATTTTTTACGATTAATTGCGGTCTACCTATAAAGTAGTAGTAGTGACAAAATCTTGAACATTTTGAGCATAAAATAATGAACGAATCTAAAAGAAGATAAACATAAAATCTTCTAAAAGTGGCAACTTGTAAGAGGACATTTGACAATTTATTAGAAAACATCATATTCGGGAATTCCTTTTCCTCAATGCCCAAGAAAAAAAGTAAACAATTTTTGTTTAAAAATCAAAATAAAGAATGTAAAAATGAATAAAATTCCAGTGGAGAGGAAATACTGTCGGCTTGGGAAAAACTTATTTTCTCGCTTTTGTGGGTCCCTCTTTCTTTCATCTGTGGATAAGCCTCACCGTTTCTCAGACAAAAAAGATAACCATCTCGTCATCGCCACGTCACATTCATCCCAGTTCCTATCCAGCGGCAACGGTTATGAAGTCGCCACGTGTCAAACTTTCATGGCTTTATCTTCGGCGACCTAACAAAATACTCGTAGAATATAATTTGATTTACGAGTCAAGTTTTGCATATAGTCCTTAGTGTTTCCGAATCTCTCTAAGTCGTCCCCAAATTATAGTCCTTAGTGCTGTTTGTTACTCCTTATTTTCTATTTTTTTTTAGTCATCTGTCCGTTTTTATTAGAGTACTGAAGAAATAATATTCTTCGATATTTAACAAATTTAAATATTTTGAATCATGACTACAAACAAGTTTATTGATAAACTAAAATTTTATGTTTAAAATTCACAAATAACCAAACAAACTTATAACAAACGAAATTATTTCAGACAAAATAAAAAAATATTTTTTTTAAATTTAAAAAAATATTCAGTAAATAAGATAATGACTTTTATTGTTTTATTCATTCTCCAAAGTTAAAACTATATAGATTAACAAATTTTTATAAATTTAATAATTATATATTATATTTAAACTAGATTTTTGGATTGACATCTAAAGAAATTTTCTATTTTTTTTTAAAAAAATTGAATTATCATTTATAAATTCATAATAATATTAATAACTAAGAGAAAACTACATCGATCATTGGCATAAATCGACATGTAAAATCTTCAACCCACTTGAACAAACTGTACTGACTCACTAAAATTAGCTAGGAATGACAATATGGGGTTGAAATTGTGAATAAAAAAGTACGACGATCAAATTATAAATAAATAAAATAAGGTGAGAACTGCATGCAGAGTGCGTGGATGAGGATAAGGTTAAGCCAACAGTTTCTTTTGTCCCCTCTGTCTTTCCCTCAAAACTTACTTATCCTCTTCTTCCCCACTTTTTCATTTAAAATTTTAATAAGAAAGTTATATAACAACGTGATAAATAATTAACAATTGCCTTTTTTTTTGTTTTTTATTATTTAATGTTAGTAGAGGGAAACAACCAGAGCACACAGACAGACACAAAGATCTCAATATAAAGATCTCAACTTCTCTGCTCTTTCTTTTCCTCTCTGTCTCTATTGCGAGTTTGAGAATACAAAAGTTCCAAAGATTATCTGCTAAGTTCAAATGTCGATTGCGATGGATAGAGTTGAATCTTATGTGTTTAATTTCTCCGGCGATAATTTGGATCAATCTTCCTCTGAGTCTTTCTCTTCTCCTTCTTCTTCGGCGTCTTCTTCCATTGGGAGGAATAGCGACGACGAAGAAGAGTTTCACGGTAACGGAAAATCGTCGGAGGACGGTGGAGATGATGTCGGAGAGAATGAAGCCGAGTCTCCGTACAAAGGTCCTCTTGATTTGATGGAATCTCTTGAAGAAGTCTTACCCGTTAGGTAAATCTCTCTTAAAAAATTTCTAAATTTATGGATTTCCTGTCTCATTCTTGAGAAAGTTTACGAATTTGGAAACTTTGTAATGGAAAACTAAATAAGTACAAATTTTTCTGATTTTATTGTGTGAATGTGGTTTGTGTAGGAAAGGGATATCGAAGTATTACAATGGAAAGTCAAAGTCTTTCACGAATTTAGCAGAGGAGGCAGCGTCAGCGTTGACTTCTTCTTCATCGATGAAAGATTTGGCGAAGCCGGAGAATCCTTACAGTCGTCGTCGGAGGAATCTCCTTTGCCATCAGATTTGGGAGAACAATAAAACGACTCCACGTGGCGGGATCTCAAAGAAACACATCATGAACTCGAGCAGGAGCGCGTTGACGCTTGCCATGGCGGTTGCTGCCGGCGTGATGACCGGAGAGGGATCTTTATCCGGAGGAGACTCGTCGCCGGGATCAAGTCCGACGACTTCGGGATCTCCTCCGAGACAGAGGCATCATCATCATCAGATGCTTCCTCCGTTGTATCCTAGGAGTCAAGGGTCTTTTGGTAATTTGAAGTCGTCTCAGTCGTCGTCTGGTTTTTGTGCCTGGAGATCGTATTCGGTGGCTGATTTTCCGAGGTGTTTCCCGTCGACGGCGAGTGGTGTTGGGTCCAATGACTCGTAGGAACGATAACATTTGTCTTTTTGTTGAAGCTATATTTTGAAGTTAACCCTTCTAGTTTTTGGAGTAACATCCGGAGAATGTATAGACGAATTTCGAACTTTTTAATGGATTCACATCTTTTCATTTTTGTTTCGTTCTCTCAGTTAATTTCATTTCCACATCTTTGCCGGGAAAAAAAAGAAAAAATCTCACACTTAAATCTTTTATCTATGTGTGGAAATCCAACATTCTTCTTTCATGTTCTTATCCAAGTTTTAAAAGCTAAAACCATTAAAAATGGGTAGTAATTAATAGAGATCTAATTGATAAGGTTGTATGTTTGGTATTCACCAAAAAAAAAAAAAGGTTGTATGTTTGGTGAGAAGGACAGGATGGGATTTGAATCTAACCCACCAAATCTTCTATAATGTGCATCTCTACGAAGACGCATTTGTGTCCACTCTTTTTAGGCCAAGTTTGGAAGCAATTGGTTCAACCACCCTTTTTTACTCTTTATCTTTTCTTCTTTCTACTAATTAGCTCGGTTTATTACCTAATCGAAGTGGATTTTGGTGGTGAGATGTTGTCTTCGAGTTTCAAATAAGTTGAGTTGAGGAGGAAGGTAGTAAAGGAATTCGTGTGACAAAGTTAGTAAAGAAGCTTTACAAAAATCAAGTTGTAGTAGTTTATTGGTCATTGTTCGGTTGGTCTAAGTCATAGCCGTTTCCCTAAAATATTGTCAAAGATATATGCCAACGTTAAGACTCTATGATTATGCATAAATATGGTGTGACCTCAATCATGAATAATACAAGATTCTTAGTCTCTGTATATAGTAAGTTTAAATACAAAAGCTTCAAAATGTTAATATACAAAACCTTTATTGTCTCTGCTTGGACTCCAAAACATATGGAACCAACCCCTAGCTGTTTCCACTTGTTTCAGATTGATGAAGCTGAAGAAGTAATGAATTTGAGACGACGAAGATCGAGCTTAATGCCATTAGTCCCCCTGAAATTAAATTAACGGTAAGTCAACCACGACAGATATTGGATTGTGTGAAACAATAATGTGGAGCTAAACCAACTTAAGTTTGTAACTAATTTAACTAGAATCAGGACCACTTACCGGATAAGGAAGGTGTCATGGCGAAATCATACTGAGGAAGCAACACACCTGCAGCTATCGGAATCGATATGACATTATATGCAATTGCCCATGCTAGATTCTGATATACTTTCGACATTGTTGCTTGCGCAAGACTAAGTGCATCCACAACCTATAACAAAAAGACAACAAAAAAAGAAATACACATAAGTGAGGAGCTTATAAAGCAAGGAACTCATGATTCATGAACCGCGTTTATTATAGTAAAGGAATATGAAGAGCTTTACATGTGAAAGTTTGTTGCGGACAAGTATGACTGATGCTGCATTAGACGCGGCGTTTTCTTGAGCCTCAATCTTTAGAGCTATTCCGACATCAGCTTGAGCCAACGAAGGAGCATCGTTTATGCCATCACCCACCTTAGGAAACACAAAAAATACAATGTTAGCCTAACAATCCATTTTCTAAAACACACCAGTTCTATGAATTTGTTTCACACCATATATGAGTTCCTTTCTGATCTTTTATCATTTGGTATGGTCAATTTCTAGGATTTGCGTGACCATGCCTAGGGGGATTAAATTCACTGTCTTTCATGGGAAGCGTTGACATTGTTGGAATTCAGCTGAATATCTTACCATAGCAACACGAAGTCCAGAGGATTGAAGATTAGATATAAACTCGAATTTCTTTTCAGGAGACAAGGAATAGTTGGTTGATTCACTCTCAATCCCCACATTCTTTGCCACTGTTGCCACTGCCCCTTCCCTATCCCCTGATAAGAGGACTGTTTTGATGCCCTTCTCCTGAAGCCTTTAAATAAGACAAACAACATTAAACTTAAAACCGTAGAGACCACACTGTTTCGATTAAGCCAAAAGGTTCACTAAACTTTGAACAGAGAACAACTAGCTTCCGACAAGGTCTTGAAGAAAAGCAGCACGCAATTTCATGTAAATCTGCAGACTCTCGAAAGTTTAAAACCAGGGTTGCTTTGTTTTTTAAAATAGGAACGATTAAAAAGGAGGGGCAAAATTACCTGGTTACCGTGGATTCAGCATCTTGGCGCAAGCAATCGGATATTGCAATAGCACCAATGATCCCTTCTCCTTCGCGCCCAACGTAAACAACGGTCTTTGAATACCTAGACGTTGATGATGTGCTTGATAGTTTATGATCCAAATACTTTTCCAGCTTAACCACGTCCGAGGAGTCGTTTATTTTTTGGAAACGACCGGAAACCCATTCCAGTGCACCCACTGCAACCAAACGTCCATATATTTCTGCCAATGTACCAAATCCTGGTTCTGTCAATTGGCCTCTTGTTTCTGGAGTTTCCAGATTCAGCGCTTCAGATTCGTTTACAATAGCCTTTGCTATTGGGTGTATTGCTGTCTTCTCCACCGCAGCAGCCAATTTAAGAACTTCTTGTTCTCCATAAATCAAAGAAGCAACACCAGAGACGACAGGTCTTCCTTCAGTAAGAGTCCCTGTCTGGACACATAATGCCATTGATGATCAATGGTGGAAACAATAACTCTATTTATTCAACTTAGAGGAGCAACAGGATGTCAGGAACTGCTCATACACCTATCAATTCTAGGATTTTCCATTTTAATACCTTGTCTAAAGCCACACAATCTACGGAGGCCAGCCGTTCTAAGACATCTCCTCCTCTGATAAGATATCCCCGCTTTGCTCCTGAGCATATTCAGGAGACTTCACCAGATTAGCTTCTGACAATTTCAACAATCTCAAACTCATTGTTGCTAATCACAACATTTTCAAGTAATATAACTTTCAACTTAGTACTTTTATGTATTATCTGAAGCCGCCATCAACAACAAAAGTTTTCAACCAATAAATGCTTTTCATATGCTAGGGTATTCAAAAAGAGAAGGGAAATATAGAACATAAACTATTGGTAGCTTCAGTGTCATCTTCAATTCTTCCTAATAATTGGAAAACTTTGGACACAGTTAGGTTCCTCTTTAGGTTTGAAGACTTTTAAGTGCAAGCTAAAAAACGCTGGATAATGTACCAAGAGAGGTGCCAATTAGTATGGCAGTTGGTGTTGCCAGACCCAGTGCACAGGGGCAGGAGACTACCTGATACAACAAAATAAAAACGACTTGGTGATCTGCACAATATGATGTTTTTTCTCCAAAGTTTCTCTCCATCCCTCTTTAATCTTACATCCCCTTCACAAATTCTCATTTTCCCTCACGATCCCCAATTTTCTTCCCTCATTAAGTTCGTCTAGTTCCAATAACAGCCCATATGTTTTATATTTTCGCATGAAAGATATAACTTTGCTATTCATTGCTTACTCACCAGTACATCCACGGCCAGTTTTAGGCTTAGTGCCAGAGGATCTCCATCCGGTCCAGCAATATCATTGAGTAAAACATCTGGGAATATGTGTGAACCAACGTAATACCTGAAACATGAAAACAACAGGGTCTTTCACTCTGTGATTCTGAACAGAAAATTGTCATGTTATGCTTATGCTTAACGTTACAACTAGTTAAACAGATTCCTGCTAAAACAAATATAAGAATCCTATTGAAATTTCAGATGTCATTTCCGGTAGGAATATGAAAGAGGATTATACCAAAAAGCAAAAGTCACTGCAGATAAAGACATTATCGTATAGACGAATGGTCCAGCTATTGCATCTGCCAGCCGCTGTACAGGAGCTGCATTACCTTGTGCATCCTCGACCTAAAACACCACAATTTCATGAGGTATTCATATTTCAATTTCTACTCATAGCATCCTCTTAATCGAAACAATCCTACAAATAGAACTGATTCACATGTTCATACCTGAACCTGATTTCAGACAGGAAAGGATGTGGATATAATAGAGACTCACTACAGAGAAACCAAGGGTTCTGACTTGATTTCATCCATACTATCCTGTCTAAAATCAAATTCAGCTACAAACATGTGCCTGAGTTCTATTTGTAGGATTGTAACTCAGTTATGATATTTCTCTTTGCAGCTGTCTATTTCCTCTTCTGTTTTAGAGGAGGAAAGTCAACTACAAATTACAGAGATTATTAATGGCTGCCTTTTCCTTTTTACATGATGGCTTGAACAGCTCCATATTATGACTGATGGAATTATCCATCGCGTAATGTAACTTTCATGAAGATTCTATTGGCTGTAGGTTCGTAGCAACTAACCATTCTGACGATTTTTGATATTGTTGAGTTGGAGCCAGTAGAAGAAGCTTTGATCCGAAGAGGGCCATCCTGAAATAGGTAAACCGAAGTTTTGTTTTTAAACTGATTTTATGATCACTGTATGTAAATCAGACTTTAGACTGGAAATCTGGAATACAGTATTGTTTGCAAATAGATCATATCCCAGAGTCAGAAGGTTTGTCATCCGTTGAAGCACTAAAAGAATGAAACCTTTAGTAGCCTTTTACTTTAAAAAATAAAGTTTTGTTTAGGTAAGCATATACATACCCAGTTTATTGTTCCCGCTGAAACTGAACAACCTTCTTCTTTAAACACGGGAAGTGACTCTCCTGTCAACATAGATTCATCCACAACACTTCTTCCAGCTAGCACACTCCCCTATATTGAACAAATCAATTCAAGTTGATCAATAAATCGGTGACTAACCAGCCACAAGGAATATTAACCATGCTATTTTGAGAAGAATACAGAAAAAAATAGCACGTATCCATTATCACGTGCAGGGGAGAATGTGAAATTTAATTGAATCTCTGCAAGGGCTGATAACTCCACATGTTTTTTTTTCTCAGCACTGATACCATCCATTAAATAGATTTTCATAATTTCCTTTCAGAAGCACATAAGATTATTTTTTTGATAAGATCAGACAGTGCTGCATCGAAAAGCAACTACAGAATTCCTAAGACGTCAGAAACACTTACATCAACAGGAAACGTTTCACCAGGCAAAACCAACAGTGAGTCTCCAACTCGAATCTCATCAACTGGGACATCGATGCAAATTGAATCAGAGGAAAGTACAGAATCAGTTGCGGTGTTATTGTCTGATGCAGTAATCACAAGTCTTGATTGAGTGGAGATTAGTGACTGCAAAAGTACGTTTCGATTAAAAACGCAGGAATAGGCCTACAAGTTAATCTTGGGAGGAGAACCGAGAAATGTCCAACTTACCAATAGTTCATTCATATCACTAGATGCTCTAAGCTTTGCTCTTTCTTCCAAAGAACGACCAAGGAGCACAAAGCCAAGCAGCATGACCTGCATACTAAATGACAAGAGCTATCAATCAGAAATTCACCACTGAAATTGTATTTGCATGCAGTAGAAGTAAACATAAAAGATTTCATTATAGTCCCTTTGTGAATGTGTTAGAGGAACTCACCGGTTCCTCAAAGAACGAAGCATCCCAGTCCAGTTCTGGATTAACAAGTGAGATCTGCAAAATTAAGAATGCAGAGAACAGCAGTGATTCAGAATAGGATACTCACCACTCAAAATAAATCACAGTATACAAAAACTCACCAAACTGATGGAAAATGCAGCCATAGATCCCAATCCAACTAACGAGTTCATATTAGGTGATCTTTTCCCGAAAGCTTTTATGCCATCAAACAGCAATTCTACAATATACATTTATCTGATTCAGTCATTTGGGTTTCTGAACAGCTTCAAATATCAATATCCACTACTACCAGTGGAAGCATTGATGCAAAAAAGCTCAATTATGTAATCAGAGTAGTAGCACACAATTAAGTCTGAAGAATAGCCTCAGAATGACTACATCTTCATCTCTCTCTTACAATACTAATTACTCAACTTTATATGCATTTAGCTGGTAAGCATCCTTAGATTTTAATGAAAAATGTTTAAACAAAAGCAAACCTCTTCCTGGCCCCAACAAAGCTCCAACTGCCAAACCACCTTTCACGTAAGAGTTGTGTAGCAAGTCCCAGAACCCTCCTAGCAACATCAGGCGCAAGAAAGAAAGTCAGAGACTCCAAAAATGACATCGAACAGCACAAATTTGCATTGATATTCAATTCCATAACAAGTGAACAAAATATGGGAAATAATGTACCATGAGCAATGTGAATTCCCAAGGAATGAAGAATATGAGAAGTGTGAGACCCGCAACACAGAGCCACCAATGTCCACGCAAATGCCACACGGTTCCTACTCTTAACGAGCAATTCCTCTTTCTTACTCACCATCTCCTTCCACTTCTTCACGTTCTCCGCCACTCCCATCCCCGAGACTCTCCTCTTAGCCTCGAAGCCACTCTCCGTCAATCTCTTGGCCAGGCTCTCCGCCGCATCCGCCACCACCTCTACCTCCGGTTTAAGCCTCACAGCCGCGGTTTCGGTCAGCATATTCACCACAGCAGACGCGACTCGGTCATCGGACATCAGTACCGATTTAACCCTGGCGACGCAGCCCCCACATATCATCCCGCTCACGTCGAGAAGAATCGGCGTGTCGCTCGTAGCAGATTTCACAGATTCGATTGAAGATTCCGTCGATTCAAACGATTGAGTACTGATCTGGACCGAGTTTGATACGAAGAAGCCATGTGTCGAACAGCGCCGCCGGATTCGAGAATGGCGTTGTCTGGGATAGCATCGCTTCGCGTATTTTACGTCGAGGAACTTACAGGGAAGAATATGCAGACTCGTCGTCGGTGGAAGTTGAAGCCGGAGAAGATTGCTCGCCATTTTCGCCGGAAAGAGAACGACGATAGTCACGATATGTCAAACTGAAAATCTAGTGGTTCGTTCGTTTGAAAAGTAGCCAAACATATCGTCAGAAATTGACACGTCGGATTTTGCATATATCCAAACCACCACAAGTGTTTAGCGCTTCTTTTTTTCCTCCACAAGTGTTTAGCCGCTCGCTTTGGTGGAATTTTAACAGGTAGTGCCAGGCTGATAAAACGCAGCGTTTACAAAGGTTTACTTCCTAGTAGTCTTTTCTAATAGGTAAGCGTAAGACCTTCCGGGTCACAAAGAGGATTACGGCATCTGGGCCACAGTGGTTCGACACGACGTGTCACTTGCCTGAAATATTAATTTTTTGGATGCATTTTATCTTCTTTCTTCTTCAGCTCCTCTCAGCTTCTTCTTCGACGAAAATATCTCTCACTTCTCAGAGCTCTGCTGCAATGGATGCGAGTGCGAATGAACCAGCTATGAAAAGCTTGAAATCCTCTCCGAGGGCACCGATACCGAACTTTTTCGTATCGCTGTCCTCGGCATTTACGCAAACACCTCTTGTGCGTACGAAGAAGCCTAGTTTGCTACTTCTACAACCAGCTTCAGACGCCGTCAAATCGATTCAAGACTTTCATCGTTGTCTGGTGTCTGCTTCTGAGAAATTCGTAGGGTTATTCCATTCACTCGCCTCTCGGAACCCTCTATTTCAGGAAGCGGTTCGCTTGTCGTCTGAATTTCGCGTTCTTTGCGACGAGGTAAATTCTTTTACCCTCTTTATGCAAATCGACAAAGCTTTACGGGGAGAATGGTTTGGCTTGAAACGAGTTTCGTTGCTTCTTCGGATTAAGTAAAGAAGATAATTATGTGTTTCCAATGAACGTCGTGAACACTTGCCTGAGCTCTGATTGGTACTCTAATGGGTGAATCTTTCTCTCTTCTGTTCCAGAAAAATGCTTCATTTTGAGTAACCAGTAACTCGGATCATATGCGCACATTATTAAATCTGAGTTATATAGAATTAGTTTGTGGAATTATTCCCTCAAGTTGGGATATTTGTTTTGTTCTAATCTTCCTTATATCTATGCACACATTGAGCAATGTTGAAGCTCGGTTTCAGGATATGTCGGGCTATGTTATTGAAAATGATGAGCCTTTTGTTGCTTTTCAGAGTCGTTTGAGAAACACTACAAGGGTGAGGTTTGCGATGTCTAACCACGGATTTGCAGCGGTTCTGCCTGGAGATTCAGTAGCAGGAATGGTGGTTGCTAACGGGTTGATAAACTTCCTCAACATTTACAACACCATCCTTGTTGTCCGTCTAGTACTCACCTGGTTTCCCACTGCTCCTCCTGCCATTGTTAGCCCCCTCAGGTAAAAATTTCTCCTTAGTGTTTTCCTGCTCGTATTGAGAAATGTCACTACGATCATAAATCTTATCCAGGTCTAAAATACTTCAACCAATCTTAGGGAACAAAATCTAGATCATTTATTTGCTATTTGTCAATGCTCAAGGTTGTCTTTTTACTTGAATTAGAGGAAGTTTCTTTGGGATCAACTCGATTCTCTCCTTTCTGGTCTAAGTCTTGAATGGTTTTAAGGATTGGTTAAAGCCTGATGGATCTGCCCAAGAACCTTACATTTCTATTAATTAATTGCTAATTATGTGTGTGTGTTACCATTGTATCAGCACTTTATGTGATCCATACTTGAACATATTCCGGGGAGTCATACCGCCTCTTGGAGGATTAGATTTGTCTCCCATTTTGGCGTTCCTTGTTCTCAACGCCTTCACCAGCACTGCTATGGCACTTCCTTGCGAGCTCCCGCCAGCTGATGGAGCGGCTTCTCCATCATCTTGTGAGACAAAGTGGATGAGAAGGAGAAGGTTGAGCAGCCACAAGGACCATAGACCGAGCTCAACTTCTATGAACTGAACCTTTCTTTAAAACATATCCTCTTTTCTGCGCTTCAAATGCACCTTTCGAGTAATATTATTCTACTGCATCTTTGGATTTCTGAGTTTTTGTGTAAATTTTCTTTACAATATTAATAAAAAGAGTTGCATCTCTCATATACAAAAATCTTTGTAAGATTGATTTTTGCAAAATTCAGGGCAAAAGATAAGTCATTTGTGACGTTGTAACAACTTTCACTCAGGTTCTAATCAGTGGCTTTGCATTTCAAGACAAAAACAAGAAGGATGAGAATGACAAGCAACCCACCAAAAGAACCACACAGCCTGTGAATCCAGTAAGGATCAAACCTGGTCAAGCTCTGGTCACAATACAGGGACAAGGCAATGGCCAAAACCAACAAGAGGAGGAGCACGGGAAGCGAAAACATAAACCCAAAGAGTTCTTCTTCCGGTTCGAGGTCTTCCTCTGATAAGCTGTCGATGAAGAGGGGCGAGAGCACAGCTAGTACCGACAAGCTTATGGCCAGAAATTTCCTGGACGAAGTAAACCTGGATGGTTCCGTTTCCATCGGAAAATAAAAAGCCGGTTCAAAAATGAAGATACCAACTGTTATAACCTTCTTTAAAGTCCTCGCTTAGTGTTCATCTGGTTAAAAGGGAAAGAAAATCTGAACGGAAAGGGTTTGCTTCTTGGCGAATCTCTACACAAGCTGCAGGATAGTTTCCAAGAGCAGTTTAGATGGTGTGGTTAACAATTCACACAGAAAGAGAAGAGAGAAGGCTTTGTCTGTGAATTTCCACTGGTTTAAAGGAATCTTTTGTTTCTAGAGAGACCACACAATGATAAACTATTCCATGGAATCATATACTTTTTTTTTTCTTTCTTTTAATTATCTTTTTGTAATAAAGTTGAGCCCGGAAGACATTGTAACGACTATTCTTTTTTTTTTGGTCAACTGTAACGACTGTTCATATATAACTAGCTTTTTTACAATAAACCTGTAGAGATGATTTGGTCTAACAATGAAGATAGTTCATGACTTTACTGCTATACATCGCCAAAACTTGCCCACTCATCAGAAGAACTTGTCATCTACACTTGTGTAAAAGTCATCAAGATGAGCAAAAAGTGAAGTCATTTTCAATCCAACGATATGAACTGGTGATCCTGAAAGTTCTTCAAGAAATTCATCCCTCACCTACAACAATAATATCGCCATTAAAGTACCTTACACAGCTCATCCCGAGGTTGAATTCAACACAACAAACAAACAAAATGCACAAGTGTAATTAAGCTTTATGACCGGCTTCTTTACTATGTCATACCTGCATCCATCCAAATAGCTTAAGCGATCTAAGTAACGAGCAACAACTCAAGATCCGTCTGAGGTCTTCTTCTGTGAGTTTTCGACACCAAGAGAGGTCCAAATAACGCAACCTATTACATGTATTGGCGAGCGAAAGGGCAGTCTCTTGACCGACCTGTTGAAAAACAAAAGTCTATTAGAACACTTGGGAGAAACCAGCTTATAAAGAGATGAGACTTTTGGTACGTAAAACACACTCACATCTCGGACATGGTCAAGGAAGAGTTGGGTAAGAGATCCTCCCGAGACTTCAAGAAACGCGGCCACAGCTTCATCACTATCAAAGGAAGCTCATAGATTGGTATTCAGAAGAACAGTCTACAAAAGTTATGTTAAAACATAAAAAATTGTGAAAAGACTTGAGCAAACCTAAATCGGTTTCTCGTGAATCTGACTGACTTCAAAGATCTGCAACCATTGGTAATTTCTTTTAATGACGCATCAGTCAAATAATCCAGTTGTGAGATGTCAAGAACTTCTAGATTCGGACAACATCTCCCAACAGTCCACATAGTTCCATCATTCAAGTATCTGGTTACCACAGAGAAAAAGGCAAAAACAAACATTTAATTTCAGAAGCAAAACTTGGAAATGATATTTTTTTTCAGAAGAGTAAACTTACGTGCAAGAAGCGAGAGAAAGATGAGTAAGGTTGGAGCCACGAGAAGCAACGAACGCCGCAACAACATCATGAATGCTATTGAGCCCTGCAACAGAGAGATAGCTAAGTTTCTCAAACTTACGTAGGCTTCTCTTGAATACATTAGATGGTATGATCCCTTGGCATCCTCCGATGTTAAGCCCTCTAAGAGTGGATCCAAAGTTATCAGCAAGAATCTTCACAGCTCGGGAAGTGAGGTAAGAGCAATACGAGAGGTTAATATTCCGAAGCAGAGGAGCAGATCTCGCGATCAAGGCCAATCCATTGTTTGTTAAACAGAACGCTCCTTGAAGAGAAAGCTTGGTCAGATAAGGGAACCCGTTCGGCGAGCGTTTCAAGAACTCGGTTATGACGTTCTCCGTCATGGCTCGTCCGCAGAGATCAAGATTCAACACCTGAGTGAAACAATACAAGATTTCACAGACCCTTTTTGCAAGAATGAAGATTTGAAGAAGAAAAAATGGATTCTTTGGAAACTACCTTCAAGCTAACTCTGTTACAGTCACAGAGGATATTAGCCAAGTCTTTCTCCTCTATGTCGACGCAGTTCTTGACGGAGATCTCAGACGGAGAGCCCTGTATCAGTAGCTTCATAAAACGCGTGTCGAGTTTCCTTTTACTGCTAACGAGATTCGAGAGCTTCGTCCTCAAGTGATCAGGGACGAGGTTAAGAGACGTGATTGCTTCAGAGTTATCAGCAAGAACTCGCAAACTCATCTCCATTAGCGTAGGAACCTCCTTTACTTTCGTCAGATTCAACTCGATTCCAATGCTTGATGATGTATATTCGTCAGAATCTGTCCTCCTCTTCTCGATCGCTTCCTTAGCTTCGTTAAACAGACTTTTTATACCCTTTCCATTAACTTGATCTTCTTCTTCTTCTTCTTCTTCTTCTTCTTCTTTTTCTTCTTCTTTGCTTTGTTCTTGAAAAATATTCTTGGGAATTTGATCAGAATGCAAATCAAGAGCGAACCTCTTCGCGATTTTCTTGTGATACTTGGCCTCTTCAGCCAATCGCTGCTCGTAACGAATTCGAGCATCGCGTTTCATAACCGTATCCGCTGCAATGCAAAGCAAATCCAAAAACGTAGTATCGACTGGAGGGGCTTCTTCATCGTCGGAATCTGGTTCAGCGAACGCCGCCGGAATTTCTCGAGAACCACCGGGAGAAGCCATGTTGACGAATCGGGATCGAGTTGCAGAGAAGTTTTGGGATTTTTTGAAGACTGAAACTGATAAAAAGGGAAAATCAAGAGATACGTATTTCAGTATTTATACCTTTCTTCTTTCGACTCTGTGGACCCCAAACTCCTCAAAACGGTCTCACCTAGTCAACGCGTGTCCTTATTGGTTCTTTTTCTTTATATTAGTAAAAAAAAAAGGTCTTTTACTTCATGTTGTTGTAGTAGAAATTTGTAACCATGGTTGAAAAGTAATATGGAAAGAATATTATATTTCATTTCGAATTTGAATTCACCTTTTTATAAATTTCTAATTATTTGATTTTAACCATAAAACTTGTTGAACACGTGCCATTCATTAAGATAAGTGACGAACAAGTAAAAAATTAAGGTATTTGAAACGTTACAAAAATTTTGTGAAAAAAACGTTGCAAAAAATGTAAAACAGAAAGATTCTCGTTTATTCTTAAAAACAAAATTTTAGTTATATTTGAATTTATGATATGCTTAGATATCAACATGAAATAGCATTCATTTAGAATGACTAAAGCTTTCATGCTTTTTTTTGGGTCAAAAGTATTTCAAGTTTAATTGGTCTTGATTACAATATACTCCAGTAAAAATATACAAATAACCAAAGATAACACTAGGCTTGGCCTGGATATCAACTTTGTTATGGATTGATTCGTGTAAACAGATGAGCACCTCTACGGATACCTACTAGGAATTTAAGAAAATCGTATACCGAAAACGTAAATAGAGTTCATACCAAACCAAAACAAAACGAATTTGGAGTTTTTCTGTTTCATAGGCCGAGGCAGAGGCATTCTCCAGCTTGACCGGGCTTATTTGGATTGTAGGCTCATATTGACAATTTTCTATTCGAATTATTTTCTGTTAAAAGAACCATTAGTTCTAAAGCCCACGGGCTCGCATTTCAAACACACTATTGTTAAATGCTCCACCACCATATATTATTGACAACTAGATTCTAATTCCTATGTTATCGTAATATATTTAAGGGGGCTATATTCAAGTGAATGGAATTCTCTAATTTATTTATATCAATTTATATAAATTATAAAACATGGTAATATAAAAATATCTTATGTATACATAAATATATTTTTTTTTAAATATCGAAACATACCCTTTAAGAACATGGAGTTACATTTTTTGAACGAATATCACAATAATATATTATAATAAAAATATGGCCCTCTAAAACATTTAATAAGGTACATGTAGACAAATGTGTAGGCCACAGTTTTCTAAAAATGATGAAACAACAACCGATGCAATTTTTGTACATAACGAATATATATGGAGTTATTGACAAAATAGAAAATAAAAAAATAGAAATTTTCTACTAGTTAGATAAGGATTTTAGCATTCTTTTCAACAGGGAAAGTTAAGTGTTATATCAGCAATAGAAAGATTATTTCAAGGAGCATTGTAAAGCCTATTTCAGCAATTTCGTAACGACATTGCCATATTGGTGAGAGCAAAGTTTTTGCAGAAAATTTTTGGTGTTAACCAAGATGTTGTAATGCAGATTTAAATTATTGTTTTTCTGACAAAAATCTAGAGCGTTAAATTTTTGTTATCCTTGTGGATTCAACATGTAGTTTGGTTCACCTTGTTCTTTAGATTTTTTTTTTTAATGAAAACCCCATATCACACGGATCCAGTTTTAGTTATATGTTGTCAACTTACGGGTTATAGATTAAAATTTAGGCTCAGCAAGTCACATGGCATTTCCCTCGTTAGATTTCATTTCACTTATAAAAAACAAAAATGAAGATTTCAAAGAAGATTGACATATAAGAAATATTAATGTATTTTTCTTGTCACTGAGATCAACTTGGTTATATAGCTTGGTATATTTCAAACTACCTATTTTTCGTCTCTCTGTAGTTTGGATTTCATAATAGAAAAAACAATCATAGGAAATCTTCTTCGTATAATTTGTTCATTTGTCTTTGTGTATACAAAGTCAAGGATCGACCACATCTCACATATACACAATTGGGTCTTTCTCATTTCTCTTTTTTTTTCTATATTGAGTTATAAATAAGAATTGAATTTCGGAGGTAGGGACCAAGTCATAGGACTTTGGATGATTGTTAAATCCAAAATCCAATATGGCAACAATAGTGCAAGTAGATGGCATTCCAAATTTGAACTGTTTTAAGAAAATCTAATTTTCCATTAAAGATCCTTATTTATTTTCATCATATTAGTTCCTAGAACTTACGCACTCCCTTTCTTTTATTTTCTCTCGCGCTATAAATTGAATTTATGAGAAACTCATATGTAGTTAATGATAATGGAGACAAAACAATTATTAGAGTCACCGGATATATATTATGAGTATGACTATACTATTGTGTGAATAAAAATTGATATCTTAATGAAATGATATTTTTAGACCAAAACATAGATAAATATATAATGGTTTGACCGAAAGATTCACATAATTCTCGCTATGTCACTAACTAGGTTCAAATTTGTAGAAGTGATGTTGTAGTTCTATCTCGATTTGTTTATATAAATGAATGAAACTAAAACTCATAACTCTGCAATTTAACATGTATACTACATGTGTTTGTCTGTATAACATAATAACATATACCGTGTTGGGAATATCACATCACATCATTGTAATGTCGCTGTGGAGAGATAGAGATATGAAAGTGAAATTTTGTGAATCAAAATTGAATGTGGAATGGTCCTTCGGTCCTTCCTAAAGAATAGCTGTAATTGAACTCTATTTGACATCGTTTTCTAGTGGACCATTATATATTTTTATATACACAAATACTATTTCGTTTAATGTTTGTGGCAGTAAAGTTGTAGATTGAGAGTTTTGTCAGTTCATACTAATTCGTTTTTAAAATATTCTTTAGTTACTCTAGCTACTAAAACAAACACTCATATAACGATAAAACCCACACACAAAAACGGCCATAATGATATCGACATGAGTAAGACTATTACTGAAACGAAGAGTCATATTAACCATACCGACATGGGTTAGAATATATAGCTGTGACGTAAGCTTACTTCAGTCTTAAGACTAGTCAAGTTTTATTTTATATAGTTTAATACTTAAAATTCTAATATCAGTTAGTTTGTTTCGTTAAATGGATTGGAACAATGACAGTAGATGAAGCAGAGCGGACGGATTGTAGACAGAAGATGAAGCTATCTAGGATTGTAGTATTTAATGTTATATATATTGGATGGTGTCGACGAAGCGAACACTGTGTTGGTCTTAAGTTAAATAAATGATACATATATTACAAATATACAATATATAAGTGTATTGTTTTATATATACTACAAAGTACAAACTAGGCCTAGTACAAACCAATTACTGTCCTTTTTTCTTCTTCTTGAACTCAAAATTCTCTTTCATGGGAACAAAGAAAAAGAAATTACCCATGCTTATCCTTTTTTGGCTTCAACATTTTCGTATAATAAGGTTCCAAAAAAAAACATTTTCGTAAAAACAGTTTCTTAAAACGGACAAAAATTACTCGGATGTGATTGTAGGATAATTTCGATATTCTATATAGAACTCATATATACTAGAATATTGCGATTTTGTTCTAGTTGTCAATACAACTGTTTTTAACTTATCAAAATAATAGAAATTAAATTATACATATAAAACCTGACTAACAACGACCAAGTCGGCCTACCAAAAAAGTATCCACTATAACGATTTTGACCCCAAATCTTCTAAAATTAATAATAAATCTAAATATTGATGATTTTAAATTTGGGCAATCTATGGATTTCACTTTTCTTAACTAGTTGCTATGATCACATGAATAGACAAAAAATTTCCTTTAATATAAGGTAACGGCAAGTCCGAGGACAAACAACGAAAGTATCTTTATGATAATTGTCTTCTCATCGTTTGTTCGATTGTGCTCTAATATTTTTACTTTAAATTTTTCAAATTTTCATTTCACTTTTTCTCTTTAAAATTTTCATTTATTGGTCACTAAAACTTTATCTTTCTTTCTTTTCATTTATCGGGGAATCATATACATCTTCTTTTGGTTATTTAATTTATTCGCCACAAAGCAAATTAAAATTCACATGCAAAAGCATCCCTATTCACGTGTCAAACGGAATGTAATTCCAAAAAACCCAAGTCACAAAATTTAAGTGGCGATGAAATTAACAATTTCATCAACGTAACCATGACAATTATAAATATCTATCTCACTGTTAGGCATTAGTACCCCCGTTGTATCAGAATTTTGTATAACCCAAAAAATTAGTTCAGGTTGTAGAGTACCACACGTACATTTCAACTTTATAAGCAGATTAAAATTCACATGCAAACTTAATTCAATTTTAGAATTTAGTCTGATCCCATTACCCCCCGTGTATCAAGATTTTAGATAACCCACAACATTAATTCACTTCACGTTAGAGATAACTTTCAAGTAATAAATAGATAACCTGCTATATCAATATAGTGAAAATGTTATACTATAATTTATCTATTCATTGAAAATATAGTTATACACGATCCCGGTAACACTTTTGTATTTACATAAATTTAACATTATTAATTTTATGCCAGTTATTATGATAAAGAAAACAGTTTAGCAGAAACAAATTTAGACTAATCATATATAAGACATCCTAAACCAGTTTTATGTTCATTTATTAATTTTATGCCATTTGTTATGATAAAGAAAAAAAGGTTTAGCAGGAAAAAATTAGACATATCATATATAAGACCTACTAAACCAGTTTTATGTTACTAGTAATATAATATGTTATATTATGTATTTATGTACCTATATATCAATTATCCAAGTTAAAGTGTAATTACTATCAAATAATAACTTTCCTCGATTTAGTCAAAACGAAGCTATAAAATAGTAAGAACGTCGTATTTATCTTTAAACTTCAAAAAGAAAAGAAAAGAAGAACGTATTATTTGGCTCGTAGTGCTCAATAAGCAGC